TCAGCTTTTGCAAATTAAATCTACTAAAGTAACATACAAAAATTCAACAAAAATACTACAACCCAAAGAAGTATATGTTGCAATATAATGCAACTCAACTCAACTTTGATTGAATTTGAGTTGCTTTTGTAATTATTTCTGATGTTTCTGTGAGATATCAGTTGATGATCCTACCTAAAGGAAACCTAGTCGAACTAGAAAAACCCACCATACATAAAAACTATGAAATTAACAAAGTCATCTACCTAGCTTGTTCTTCATCATGACCATCCAACACACATTCACCATCACTCAAAGCCCCAAATTCGACGGTGAAATCCAAGAAATAGAACAAAATAACCAAAGAAATGCAGCTGCAGAACATAGGTATAGGACCAAAGATCCAAAGAAACAATGGGAACGAGAAGTAGAAGGCACGCAATCCGAGTGACCAGAAGTAGCCTCCTCTATTAACAATCCTCCCTACATAATCAGCTGTCATGTATGGAGAAGAAACCTTCTTGAATGGTACATTGATGAGGATGCTAGCGTGACTGTAATACCTTATCGATTGCACATTTAGCAGGAAGGCCAAGAGGAAGCATACCACAAGGCTGAAAAACTTAACAGCTCGCGTCCCCTAATACAAGACCGAACATACTGCCACTGCCTCGGCTTGTCATAAGCACCGCGATTACTGAGCTGAGCATGATGGCTGTTGATGCCAACAGGGTTGATGCCATTATGTTGTTCCTCAGTGTTTGTACTGCTAATACTGCATTCTTTGTGTCCTGCCATATTCATTGAGTTTTGTTAGTGAATTTTTTCTGATGGCTATTCACAGTAATGAGAAAATACAGCAAAACTATGAAATACTAATAAGGCAAAAGGATGACTCAAAGATATACAATGTAAAGTTGTGAACATTTGGTTAGTCGTAGAAAGTACCAAATAAAATGTAAAATTCTTGGAACATTCATCAAATAAAATAAATCATATGGAGGTACTACTGTAACAAGTACACCATGTACGATAAATTCAATTATTTCGTACCCCCTCTTCCGTCCCTAAATTACATTTCTACTTCTCTTTATTATGTGAGGAATAAATGCTAGAATGTAATTTAAGATCGGATGGTGTATATGTTAATCCGTAACATTTTAATTGATTGTAACAATTCACATGTATATGACTGACTATGTGAGTGTATGACACTGTGACATTGATCAATCTCCGATATTAACATACAAAAAATAGGTTTAAAAAAAAAATTATACACTTTCAAGTTACTTGTATTTTGATCCCAAAAAACAATAAAGATTGATTCTTCACCAAATGAAACACAAATATATACATAAAAATAATATCAGAAAATATAAAATTGAGAAAATACCTCCATCATAGCTTCAACCCATAAACGTCGATTAATAGCATGAATTCCAACGACAGTTTTGGTGGGTTGTTTCATGATTTTGTAAAAAAGACAAACATGGTATCCCACCATTAACAATAAACCCAAAGGTACCAAAAAATAATCCAATACTTTCTCCTTCATTTTTATTTTACTTGTATCTTTGTATATTGTTGAAGAAAAAAACCCTTTTAGCTAAATCTTAAATCTTTTGAATGATTTAAATATCAAAAGAATTAATACTATCCCAAAAAAATGGAGGATATTCCCAATTTAAACCCTTATTCTTAATCTTATTATTAAATGTAGAAGAACAGAAAATGTGAAAATAAAATTTTAAAAGATGGTAGAAAGAAGAAAACAGAGGAATTCAAGTGTTTAACAAAATGCATAAGATTTGGAGGAAAATAAGGAGGAATTTTATGACAACAAAAATAGTGTTAACTAGGAAGTATTTATAAAGAGTTACACTTGTTAAAAATTAATTACTTTATTACTTTAATTATAAATTTATTTGGAGTATGACTGTATTTTGTGTGTGAAAGTGTGGAGTCTGCTACTTTGCTTGTGATGCCCACCAAACCTTCTTCATAAATTTAATCCAACGCCGCCAACTTTTTAACTTTCATTATGATCAATTTTGATTCTACAATGTAGTATAAATTTGAAAATAACTAAATTAATTTTTAATTAATACCAATATTTAAAAGCAAATGCTAACGAATGCCCCAGGGAGTGCTTGGTATAACTTTTTATTTTTAGCGGAAATATAATACAGTAAAATAATAAACCTCCCCTAATCATGATACTTGTACTTGGTATAATGTTTGCTCAGATTAAACAATACTCATGGCCGTAGAAGAGAGAGTGCAAAGTGTCCTGTCCTTTTGCACAGGGCCCCCATTTTAAAAAGGGCCCAATTTTTTTTAATAAGAGCCTAGCTTCTTGTTTCTAACGCAAGCATTTTTCTAAGCTTACATACGAACTAATAATTTACTAATTTCCAAGCTCATTTTTCTAAGCTCATTTTACCACCAATTTACCATTTACCAATTCCCAAGCTCATTTTCCACTCTTAAACTAAGCTTCCAAAATACTTCATAATTTCTATGGAGTACAACTTTTCGTATTCCTCCATCAATTCAAATCACATTAGTATTTTCATAAGTACATCAATTTCAGTTTCAATTCCATAGATAAAAGAAAGTTAATTTCACAAGTATATATATCAAGTGGGAAATTTTTTTTCCAATATATACATGGGTTATCTTCAGTCTTTTTTAAATCATATGATTCCCAGTTGATACACAATTAAACTAATATGAATTGAAATAAAATACAAAACCTTGGTTTGATTTAAGGTCATTTTTTTGGGTTTTTGTAATGTCAATTAGATTCTTTAATTTATTTTTTTTTAAACAAAAAAAAATTGTTAGGTTTACCATAATTGTGTTATTGCTAACACTCAAGCATTTTTTTTGTTAAGGTTAAAATTTTCTTAAGTCAATAAGGTTAAGAATTAATACAAATTAAGTAGATGTAAGTTTTGAGTTGTATATTTCTGCTAATATCAGTATGAAACAAAATGTTTACAACTTATATATTAGGTAAAACAAAAAGGTTAAAAATCAAAAAATTGTATTATTTTCAAATTATTAAGGGCCTATTTTTTATTTTAGAACAGGGCCCCTAAAATCATTGCAACGGCCCTGACAATACTACTCTGTAGTTTATAGAGAATGAAAGAAGTAACTTGGAATTATACTAGTAACTTTCAATTTAAGATTGGCCTTAATTAATTCGGGATCGAACCCGGCAAATGTCCACAAAAGGGTTTCTTGTACATAACTATGGTTACCATTGTTAAGGACAAAAGGCCTAAAATGCAGCATCAAATAGGCATACTATGTAAAGGTTGCTTAATGAAAATGCAATGGTACACAACTTTAAGTGGTTAAACAAAAGGGGGATCAGCTAGGTAATTGGCACACAATAATCTTCATATAATGGGTTGTTGAAATCTTATAATCTACCTTCTTCATTATGTTTTAAAAATCCACTAGGTCTGTCAATATTGACTCTGAAATACACAAACCACAAAACAAACGTGACGCTAGTAAAATCATTGGGAAATCCACCACAGATACTACCCAAAATCTGATCCTCACCGGAGCTTCCTCAGGTGTCACCAAAAACATTTTCACAATAGATGCATGACGCCTATCAACATTAATAACACTAACAAACACATGATTTTGTCGTATATTTTTAAATTAATACAAAATACTCCGTAATTCCGTATCATATTAAGAAATATATAAAATGTTTATTCACAATCCTAAATGTCAAGACCACCTCTTGTTAAAATTAGAAAAACGCAACTCTTTTTACAAGTTGATCCAGGCATGTGATAAATTGATAATTATATTTACTGACACGATGTAAAGCCCTTAATAAGAAATCACCAAAAACTGAAGCCATGCGCTAAATACAGAATATTCTCTGATCTCTAGCTTTGTTACATAATTAGCCCTTAGAGGGGAAAAATAATTTATCAACCAAATGATCTTTCACTTTAACCTACAGATTACATATACCGGAGTATTTAAATGCATGAATAACTTAATTAAAGTGGACAAGGTGCTTTAATTTACTTAATTACACAAGCACACAGCACACTTACAGTGAGTTAGTGACGAGTATATACTGATATACGAAGTAAGTATATAATTTAACGTGCACAACAGCACAAGTGTATGAATTATGACTGATGTCTACTAACTTCGCTTATAAAGTTTATAAAATCTAGAGGCCGATAATCAAGATCTAAGATCAACTCTCGTCTACACTACAAATTAACTTAGCATGACCCTGCACAAGAATAGTGTGCACAACAAATTAACTCTGTAAATGTATTTGTTTGTGTGCAGTAAAATTTTCATGGCAACAAATCCCAAATCTGAATTAAAGTAATGGTAATGGACTGATTGTTAATCTAAATCCACAAGCCCGATTTTAAAGCAACCTCTAAATCGACTGTATTTAATACAATAGCAAGCATTAAATAAAGGCAGTACGGTCCATAGACACCCGCACATATTAATGTACTGCTGTATGTACTAAACACCCTATTTTATACAAGAGGGATCAGTACTCGAACACCGAGTTTATGATCCACACTGCATGCCCATAAAAGAGGAGAGAATTTAAAGCTATATAATCTGTTCACCATTCAGACTTTATATTAACAAAAACTTAAGACTCGAGTCGGTCGTGGTGATAGCATCTCCAACCGTACCTACCACCGAAGTGACAAGGATTCCGTTCAAACCGGGGGCATGGCTGCATGGAAGCCTGTGAAGAACTAGAAAGGTGTGAAGTGTGGGGTTGTTAACCTAAGAGTCATCAACCCAATCCGGACCCACATATATCATAAACTCCGTATGTAGTTATGTACCTTTCCCAAAGAAAATGCAGAAACTTAAAAAATGTGACTAAATGCCGATAACATCCAAAAGAACCTGGATCATTGTGTGTAGCATCATATAAGAAATTTGCTGCCTTAACTTCTAACTCGGTATATAATCCACTTGAAAGAAAGGTAAGAAGAAACTGAAAACAGTTTTAGATGCTCAGAAAACTTCTACAATACAGAAACTTGCCTTAAGTCATGTGTTAGGGACAGCAGGTCATGGCGTTTGATAATCACGGGGCCATCATCTACTATACATATAAATTGGGTTCAAGGCATAATCGTAGACTATATGAAACAAGAGAACTTGATTCTGGAACTCAAAACAATGGTCCAGAATTTCAAGGCCATTCAAATAACTCAAACTTAGTTGTGAAAGAACTTACTAGCAAAACTGAGTTCATCTCGCTGAACTCTATGCGGACCTTAAATTAGCTGCCAACTAGGCGTAATTTTCACATAACCTAATTCATATGGAGCATCATACAAAATTGGAAGATTATCTAAGCATCTTCGAATCTTCAATTCCAGAACTACAATAGTGAGTTAAATACAGGAATACTCACTAATGTTCCAGTACTTTTATCCTCTCGAAACAGTTCTGCATTTGGCGATTTAACTCATCTGTAACTTGACCTCCCTTTAAAAGCTTATACTGTGCAAATTTTGCTTCTTCACAGCTCAAGGCAGCTTTTCTGCAAGCTTTAATACTCCCTGTCTCATATAAAAACGAAGAGCGTCAGCAAATGACATTCTCAGCTCAACCATGGAAACAAACAGGAAGAGCGGATTTTTTTATTGTAGTAATTTCAGTTTATAATCATATTGAATCATCAGAAGTTAGATTAGCTGACTATAAGGATAAATTCACCTCCCTGAGAATATGCCCCATGTGTTACTACAAGTCACAGCCACAGCTAGCAACTTAAGTGAATATCAAATAAATGCTGCACCAGACCATCTAGATTGAAAGCTCACTGATATATGTACTAGAGTTTGTTCAGTGATGTTAAAGAGCAAAAGCAAAATAAAGGTGCGGAATTGTGGATTGTGAGTCTAACTTCATCTTAGGTTGTCAACTTGTCAATCTAAATAATCATCAACTAAGTTACGGTTTCGGCAGTCAGCATGGGGCTAACAAATCTTAATAGACTAGAGTTGTATACAAATGACCAGCTGACAGACGACCTATGATTAAAACCAAAACCTCATTTCAGTCATTCTGGATTTCTTCTCTTTGGGTTGAAACTGTTGAATAACAGGCCTAGTATCAACTGAGTGCTCCATTAGCCTCTTTTTCTAATCTTTTTTTGAGTAAGATGGAGTCTAAATCCATAATATGAGACTATGAGTCATATGAGACATGGACCCTAGACCATAGGATTTTGAGGTGGGGAACAGTGCCACTATTCCACCACCTCAACCCCATTGCTTTTTAGAAAGCATGTCAACCACGAACTTTTATTTATCTGTAGCAAACAGAATTGGATTGTTAAATACATATAATATCATATTGCCCAGGAATCAACATGACAAACTTAACAGGTGTTTGAATGCTTGAGCTCTAAGACCACAGCACTTAACATAAAATTATTGTAATTCAGCGATTTGCCAACAGATCAGATCAAAAGGTCAATGCTTAGAGAAGATTTGTGAAGTAGTTGCTTATTCAGACCAGTCATGTATACAGATTACAGAAATTCGGGAAAACTTGATTTAGCTATTTCATTTTTCAATAGTTGGTGAGCTACTCACCACTTAGATCAAGCAGATTAAATAAAGCAGGGCAGTTTCCAATGCTTGATACCATGGTAATTGCACACCAGACTTTCTGGTAATCCTCCCTTGATGTTCGAACCATACACAACTTTGTTATTGGATTCACATACTTAACTGCAGAAATATTCATGCCTCAAGTCAGAAGAAGAGAAAAAAACAAGTAAACAGCCATTAAATCAAATTGTGTTATACGCAAACCATGTATAGTCTCTTACCTTGGAAAGAGCCAAGGGAAGAAGCAAGACCGCACTCCCCAAAGTTGATAAGAATACTGTCTTTTATTGCTTTCGCCACATTGAACTGGGTAACAATAACAGGATCATCCACCATGAGATCCTTGTTAGGATCCAGAAAAATTTCCAACACCATGTACCTATTTTTAAATCCCACCATGACTTCTCACCTGTATAAAAGACAACAGAAAATGTCATCCTACATCAGTCCTTAAATCATTATATTTCAGGAAAGAATACGCAATTAGATGCATGCTGAAAATGCTGATTGAAAGGAGACCTTAACTAGCAGCAATACAACAGTCAAACAAGTAATAAACCCATCACATGAATTCACTACATACCACCAAAATTAACCAAAAGAAATCCTTGAGGGCCTAAGAGCATGAGTGGTTTTGCATGAAGATCAAGGAAAAAAGCAAACATTTGTTTACAGCAAATTCACGGTGTTGCACTAAACATGAAAAAACAATGGACATACATTGATTAGGGCATCAGGTGCAAGCTACTAGAAAATAGCCAAACTAATAATAAAGTTGCTTTCCGAAGCACTACCAAAAATATATGTATCTAAAATGGTGAGTTTATATTCAATCATATTAAAAATGAAAACATAAGTACATTTTCAATGAACTCAACTAACAAGGATCTCATTTTTTGTACTTTTTATTATTTATTACCTTCAAGTTATATAACCAGAATATGTCCATGACAAGTGCCATGAAATATCATTAAGACATATAGAGTAATGAGTCAAATACCAAATTGGCATCGCTTTCGTAAAATTAGGTGAATTTCATCATATCCCAATTAATTGATGATAAATTTTTCAAAAGAATACCCAAGTTCATAAGCAACTATGAAGTACATAATGGAGATTATCACTATTGAGTATTGACTACCATCCAACCACCACAACTCCACAATAGACCAGCTGTAAGCCTGTTACAACAAACATAACTCCAATTTCACACTTATTCCATAATTGCACTGAAAAATCCACACCAACTTCTACAGCAATTAATCAACACTAACATGATCATACCTATATCGAAACACCATGAAATTGAGCTTAAAATCAACACTTTAATATACTAATGTACCCAATAATATGAATTGATAACAAACAATACAAAATACTCCGTAAACAATTCCAAGAATCAATTTTTAACATAAAGGGGAATGAAATTCGGATTAGGGAATGAGAAATGCAGCACTTTAACCTTCAACATTCAATTCAAAATTAATAAGCTTTGTACATGATTTAAGAATCCTAACATAATTCCTAAAAAAAAAATTAAAAAAAAAATGAAAAACAGAGAAGCAAAACAAATCCCTACCCAAAACAAAAAAAACACAAAAAAATACTAAAATTTACTAAGCAAACAAAGAAAAATAAAAATAATGAAAAATCCCTAATTTTAAGAACATACCCTAATTGGCCGCTTGATTATTTGCAAAGTTGCAACGAAAATACGCAGTAGCAGCTTGAATACCTTGAAAAATGGAAACTTGTAGAATGAATCGGCGGGCAGCGAGAGTTCCGGTCAGTGGGTGGCGCCTGGGGTGGTTGTCAATGGAGGTTTGGGTTACTTGGGTCTTGGGGATGGGTTTTTAAATTTTACTTTTAATTTTTAAAATAATTGAAATAATTAACCATGGTTGTGTGTAATGAGTTAAAATTAACGGAAAACGTCAACAATGTCATTAATCAAAGCAAGAACAGAGGCTATCATTGATAAATTTCCTTTTTTTTTTTACCTTATTTTTTAGTCCAAATTAGACCTCGCAATCCTAACCCGACCCATGACTCAAAAACGTCAACCAGAAACTGACCTTAAATCTAACCGACTCGACTACCCGACTTGAATGCGGAGTTGACCCGATCTTAGCCCAATACTCAAAATGACCCAACCTAATTATTCCCAACTTGAAGTTGACTCGATCTAAATTTAACCCAAATCTCTTAACCCAAGCAAGCCCGATACGCAAAATATTCTAAACTAAAATTATCTTATACCCAAAATATTATTGTCTAGTGTCAAAAATGACTCAAACTGTTTCAATTCATCTCCAAGTATAAATGAACTCATAAACCGAATAAAATTATTGATTTGAGCTTGATCAATAATATCGACACACAAATGGAACAACCCGAACATACTCGACCGGGAATTGACTTGAACCGAAAGTGACCCAAGTTGATACCCAACCTGAAACATACCCAAAACCCAAACCCAACACAACCCGAATCCAAATCGAATATTAGATGATTCAAAATGACTCGTCCCATTCCCAATTTAAATGACCCATTTGCTAGTTATAGTTCAAATATAACACTAAGGCAATTACTTAAACTTTAATGTAGCATCGTTTGAATCAAATAGAATCGCGATCCTACTAATCCTATATGATCGGAATATGATCGCAATCATACTGATCCTATGGTATCAAAATATGGTCGTGATTCTAGTGATCCTCGCGATCATATTGATCCTCATGATCCTACTAATCATATGCAATAATAAGAATACTATACAAGCACGATTTTACACATATTCGATTTTAAGCACGATTTTACACATATCTGATTTTTAGCATGATTCTACACATATTCGATTTTAAGCACGATTCTACACATCCAATTTTAAGCATGATCCAAGTCATTTGATAATACACGTAAGATCATACTGATCTGAAACATGTTAAGAATCCTATGCTCGATTCTATACATATTCGATTTTAAGCACGATCCAAGTCGTTTAATGATATATATAAGATCATATGATCCAAATCGCGATTTTGACAACATTGGATCCTATAATTCCACATTTACCCATACTCACTTTCTTTTGTCTCTCCTCCATTCTTTTCCCTTGCTTAGTTGCTTGATTATTGACATATCTATTATTGGCCCAAATGCCCAATGACCCACGACTTACATTGACACAAACCATCCAATCCGTTTTCGACGCTTGTCTTAGTAATTATATTACCCTTTTTTATTCGACTTTTAATCGAGCTGCACCAACCTTAACACCTAAACTATTAGTACTCTGGTCATTACTACTTATTCCTAACTCTCGACAATTATGGGAGTTCATTTTTCTATTATTATAAGATTATCCTAGCCACCAATTCTCTATCTTTATTCCTTTTATACATATGACATATCCCTCATATCAAACAGTAGATAATTTATTTCCGCTATCCTTATACAATTTCATATATCCCCCCTTACCTAGTTACCTTGCTTTATTTTTTATCCCGTAAATGTATTTTCACTTCTTCTCTTCCTCCAAACGTGAGCTAGTTTTGATATTAACTCATAGGTAGAGAATCTACATTATATCAATAATATTAATTAACCATGTACTAAAAATAACAATAATATTAATTAACCATGTACTTGGTACAATGAAGGATATAAGATAATTAAGGTTCATGCATGAGGCCATTAATATGATAAGTTAATTAATTAGTTTGAAACGATTCTCAAATTGCTATTCCTTCACTACTATATATCTTTATTCTCGATTCCTCTCTCATTAAATCATTATTATATTGAAATGTGTTAGGAACAACACAAGTAAGGGATCAAGTCCTTCAAAAAAAAAAAAAAACCCTACTAGTAGATTCCTTCTCCTAGAGATGTTGAATTGCTAAAATCAATTTATCTAATGCCATTATTCACACCACCAAAAGTAACAAAATAAATATCAAGATAAAAAGATCAAAAGGAACAAAAAGTGGGCCCACGGCCCCCACCTACTAAACGTCCAAATCCAAAGCAAAGATCACTAACCCCATCATCATTATTTTCTTAATCACAAACAAACAAAACCACTCACTACTACTAATCTACTATTCACCAAACATTACTTAATTTTTCATTCCCTTCCGTCCCTCAAAGATTATCCTAATTATAGTCGATTTTTTATATTAACGCGTCCATAAAAATTTGATAAGGCTTAAAGAATAATTCGTTATCAAATTAATGGTAAACTTAAAAAGAGGCAAATTAATTAGAAAATCAAGGCGAGAGTGAGAGATAATGACTTGTCAATTAAGAATTTTTTTTTTTACGGATTTTGTAAAAACACTCTTTAAGTGAAGGGGGCATTAGATTAAAAAAATTGTACGGCCTACCATAATGTAACGGCTACATCCAAACATGCAGGAAAGAGGAGAGAGAAAACTATAAACACCGGCCAAAATGAATCTGATTCCACCACGTGTCACCATCTCAAAACCTCAAGTTAAAGTCACCCCACTCACACGTGACTGTTAATGCACCTCCGTCTCACTCGCCAACTTCTTCTTCACTCACACTCTCTCTCTCTTCGTTCTCTCTCTACAAAAATAAAAATAAAAGCGAAGACTTTGACTTCTTCCTAATTTTATGGTCTTAATGACAAATTTTACAAATAAAAGGACAAAAAATGTGATTATTTTTATTGCGGAATTCAAATTTAAGTGAAATTTGAGGAAATTTCAATTGAATTTAGTTTAATTTCCAATAATACCCCTTATGTTGTTTCTTTTATCCCATCTCACTCTATAAATACTTACCTTCCCCTAACCTAACATTTCCCAGTTTTTTCACAAATTTCAAGAAAATTCTTAGAGAGAGAAAGGAGAGAGAGAGTGGAATTTTGTTTTGTTTTTGGTGTTGCTAGGTTTTTTTGCAGGTTCTTCATTTGGGTTTTTCTTAATTCAACTAACAAGTAAGTGTTTTTTATTTTTTAATTATTAAATTAATTTATTTTTGTTTTTGATCTTAATTACTGAACTGGGTTTGTGATTTTCTTTTTACCAATTTGTGGGGTTTTTGTTTAAAATATCTCATGACATTAAAGTTCACATTTTATAATTATTTATTCATTTATGTATTTATCTGAATTAGTGAAATTGGTTCGTGATTTTATTTTTACCCATTTTTTGGATTTTGTGAAAAATTATTACATTATTGGATTAAGTTTACATTTTTATTTTTTGGTAAACTAATTGTGATATAATCATATAATTAGTATTTGGTTGTTTTTAATTATTTTAGCTACCTAGATAGTTACTGATTGGTTAATTTCTGCTTTATATTATAGTTTTATTTCTAGATCTACTGTTTATTATAGTTTAATTACATCTTTTAGGCCAATTTCTAAAATAAAAAATAATGTAATTTGATAGATGGTTCATTAAGATGATTATATAGGTTAATTATATATTCCGTACATGGTTTTTGTGGATGCGAGTTAGATTAGTTGGTTAAGTTATGGTCCTTAGGGGTGCTACCGTGCTCTGTGCTAGTAAGACCTAGGACCGATCTATCAAATCTCGTCTCCATCACTGCTGGTTGTCGCTCTCAATCTACCAACTTCTATTTGGTTATTAATAAAATTATAGTATGGAGTGATTTTAGAATGGTCACCCTAGTATCAGAACATACTTTCTCTACCTGACAATAGCGCTTATGAATGACCCACAACTCCACAAGATATCAACATGGTTTGATACTTGTAATTCGAGATTTGCCTAGTGACAATGAGGAATCATGGTCAGATTTAGCGAGTAATAGGCCGGAATTATTAGAATTAGAATGATCTTGAGTTAAGTATGGGTATGTTGCACATTTTTGTTAGATAGTAGTATTAGGTTCTTAGGACAATTCTTTGAAATCATATATATTTTTAGTAGAAGTTGTATGGGTTTAGGTTAAGGCCCTCTTCGTCGTTTCATTGACATTGCTCCTTTGGGGTTCCACAGACTTTCAATGGAGGCACACACAGCAGCAATGATGACTGGCTCCTCAAATGTTATATATATGTCGACTATTCTGGGTCAGGATGGACCAAACCCAGGACACAAGTGTGATTGGAAATGTCAAAACGAGCATGTCTGTGGAAATATGTACCGATGCAGACTTACTGGGCAGACTCATATCTGTGACAAAAATTGTAACCAGCGAATTCTATATGGTAATCACAACTCACTGTGCAGAGTCAGTGGACAGGTTTTCCCACTTACACCTACAGAGCAGCAAGCAGCTAGAGGTGTCCGCAGGAAGTTTGAACCTGAGGCTTGTCCTTCTGAGAGCTGTTCTTTCAAGCGTCGTCGGGATTCAAACTTACATCCTTCACCTTTCGAGAGATCCTTTTCTGCTGTCAGCCCAATCTGCAGTCAAATTGGAGATGGCATGGACTTGAACTAGATAACTCAATAAGCTTAATGCGCCTTTTTTCTAACTTTTTTTTCCTAGTTCATTTAACTTTTACATTATGGTGAACTATGTGAGAATCTTAATTGCGGAACCCTGTGCGCCCCTTATGTGTGGCAGAAGAATTGTTATTTCTAAATTTAGTGGTTATGTAGAAAACTATAAGACTTCATCTACTTTGGTGCTCCTATGTTGTCAATTTGTCGTATTCCATGTTTGCTCCAAATTTAATTAGCTATAATATGATTAGTATCTCTCTGATATCTGGTGTATCTTGTTGCAGCTTTTGCTATGATCCAGACTTTTCTTTTTATCTCTTGCCTACTTGGTTGGGAATGTCTCAGAAATCTTTGTTTGTAACGATTGTTATAATGCTATTGCTTGCAGCTTGTAGACACTTCCTTCTGTTTTTAGTTGTAAGTTGTAACTGGACTGAGCAGTTTCCATTTCTTGATCCCTGCTTCCCTCCCTGCCCCAACCCCAAACCAAAAATTAAAAGCAAAGAATTGGGGAACAAAGGGAGAAGGAGCAACATAGATACATCCGACTTCCATTATAATTTGTTGTTTGTGGATTTGACATGTGTGCTCTTTTTTGGTGTTATTTTGCAGGTTACAAACTTTTTCTAGTCAGGGAGTTATAATCTGCTTATGTGTACTACATGATTTCTTGAGTATAATTTCTATACAAGGAAGTTACTAATAAATTTTCCTTCATTGCCTTTCCAGGAATGCAGAAATATGGCTATATGTGGGGTTTCATGAAGGTGTCTTAAATCAACTGGACGATCTGCAAGTGTCAGCTGATGGGCTATTAAATCTCTGCTTTGAGAATTGAATCAACAAGATGAATTTTTTGGAAGACATCTTGTGGTATTCATATCTGTCCTGGTATAGGTCTTGAGAGGATCTATGCTTCTCATCTATTGAATATCATGACATAATTCTCCAGTGCTTCCGGAAGTTGATTGCTGATTTCAGATAAGGTTACAGTATCAGCCTTTGTTTTTTATTTGGCTCATCACTTCCCATCCATTTGAGATTCATGTACTCTTGCCCTACTACCAACCAGTAGTTTGAATGCTGCAAGAGTTGCTTCTTTGCAGCTTCGAATCCCTAATCCCTGCAGTTTTTTCTTGTAGGCAGTTGTATTCTCTGAAGGCACGATGAACAAGTAGTTGACATGCTTCAATTTGCAATCTTTTTCACAGAACTACTGTCTTTGAACTTCCTGAAGTCCTGTACAGCCAGTACAGGAAAGAGTTATATTCTCTGAAGGCTTGAATATGTTGGATGAAGAGAGCAGTCCTTCAGTATTTCTGATAAGTTTTAGCAAGATGTATAAAAAGTTTAGTTTGTAAGAGATGCCAAAGCTTTTTTTTTTTTTTTTTTCTTTTTCCGGGTGAGTTTAGGGTATGAGCATTGTGTATTAATAATTGATATAATGTAATTAGTGATAATCGAATCTTGTATGACATAAAGAATTGTTTTCAATACAGTTCTTGCCACCAGAATTTCAGGCAGATGAAAAAACTGTGGTATGTTGCTACTTGACTCAGAGTTTTTGCTTGTTTCCTAAGGTTGAATGAAGTCTACAAAATTTATGGACTTTAAAAAAATGTGCATTGCTTGCATAAATCTGTTTCGAAGTAGAGCTTTTCAGGGGAAGTGTTGCGCCTAACTCATGGACAGGCCATGTTGTTGCTACCATGCCCATCGACCCACTCAATGCACCCTAAGGTGTGGGAGATGAACCACGACACCATGAAAACGGAAGCATTTCATTTCTAGCAGTACTATTTGGGGTAGTACCCCCACCTTTTCACACTATGCAAGAGATACATACATCTTCACTTAGGGCAACCTAAGGTCAAAGGATACTTTTCCGAATCTACTTAGAATAATACAAGTAATCAAAATATCTCATTGGAATTATTTGGTGTATGTTCAAAGCAAAATATTCATTCTTTGCAGCAAAGTAAACTTCAAGTACCTTTTATATGATGAACTTCATTTATATCAAAATCCTATGTTTAAGATTCTTTCCCAAAAATAAAATTGGACTACACGTAATTTGTCACACAAGCAAAGTCAACTTATCAACCCTTCTCTCCCAATTTATCTATTTATTTTAATCCTTATTTGTTAAAATAATTGAAAGAAAGGAATTTCTTTTTGTTGAGGCTATATAAGAAAAATACAAAAATACATACATGATACATAGATAAATATATAAATAAATAATTCTAAACTTTAAAACTTAATATTGCGGCTAATACATGAAGTAAAGTAACGTAGACCTTAGTATTTCCATTGTCGGATTTTTCAAATCCAAATTCCTCTATAATTCATTAAACCCTCAAGACCACCATAGCTTAGAATAGACCCTCCCTCTCTTAATTCCTCCCCTTTTCTAGTGCACAAAACAGAACAACTCTTATAATGCTAAAAAAGCTATTGTTTGAGCTCACAAATTTCAACTTGTATCTCTTTTTATTGCTCTTTCCTTGCACAGTTTCTTGCACATTCACAATAACCAATAACTGCCCATTTACAATATGGCCCGGGACATTATCTGGGTCGGGAACGCCCCCACTTTCATCCACCGGGTTTCAGCTAGATTCCGGAAGGACTGCGAGGCTTGAGACAATTCCAGGTTGGTCAGGCAGGATATGGGCTAGGACAGGCTGCAAGTTTGATCAGACGGGTGCAGGGAAGTGTCTTACAGGTGATTGTGGAGGGAAATTGCAATGTGGTGGGAGCGGGGCAACACCGCCTGCTTCACTGTTTGAGATCACATTAGGCCAAGGGAGTAACAAGGATTTCTATGATGTTAGTATGGTGGATGGTTATAATCTCCCTCTTGTTGCCTGGCCTACTGGGACTAATGGTGCTGCTTGCAACGCGACAGGATGTATTTCTGATCTTAACATGGGTAAATTTCAAGTTGCTTATCCTAAATGCTATGACAATCTCATATGACTTGTCATGCACATGATAAGGGGTGGCTGAGGGCAGAATCGATGTAGATGCCATGGTTTGATCCTAGCCAGTACGGGTTCAACCAAACCAATCTCGAGCCATATATACCAAAGTCAAGTAGAGAATAATTGAAGCTGCCAAGGATAACAGAGCCTTGATGCCTATCTTAGTATCTTTTTATGCTAACAGCTCCTATCATGGATATGACAAGTCGTATGATATAATGCATCATATAGCATTCGCTACTCTTTACTTGTTTCCAGGTGAGAATTATATAGATTAGCTGATGGTTTTCCATGAAATTTTTTCACAAACAGGCTGCCCGAAAGAGCTGCAAGTGATGGGTGAAGATGGAGCAGAGGGAGTGATCGCATGCAAAAGTGCCTGTGAGGCATTTGGACTAGCCCAATACTGCTGTAGCGGACAGTTTGCTAATCCGACAACATGTCAACCATCGTATTATTCACGAGTCTTCAAGAGAGCATGTCCGAGGGCGTATAGTTATGCCTTTGATGATGGCACAAGCACATTCACATGCAAGGCTAATAATTATGCCATACTGTTCTGCCCCAAATCTGCTGCTATGTAATGCCCATTTCTAACTGTCTTTATACCCTGAATCCTATGTATCACCATTAATGTTGTATTCTCTTTAATTGATCTTTCTTTTCTTCTGATCTGGCGCAGGACAAATAATCCAATTGGTGGCCCAGCTACATCACCGCCAAATGTTCCATATAATTCACCACCAAGTTCCACCAACAGTCCACCACCAATAGGTGGCACAGCTATGTCACCACCAAGCATCCCATATGAATCGCCACCAACATACAGTTCACAACCAAGTGGTGGCACGACTATGTCACCGCCAAGTATCTCATATACGCCACCTCCAAGTCTCACCAACAATCCAGCACCAATTGGCCAAGATACACCTCCAAGCTTCACTGGCAATTCACCATTCGAAAAGCACAGTTATGGGGCATCTGAGGGGGAAATGTCCTCCTCGTACACCACCCTACCAAATTATGTGCATATACTTTTGATCGTTAGTTTGCTGTTGTTGAGATAAAATGTTCCTTGAACAGGATCAACTTTCAGCACCCTAGGCGAAAGAAATTCAGAATTAACAAGCTCAGCTAGAGATATGAGGCAGAACAAGAGGTTGAAGGTGTTATACGTGGAAAAATGAGAGCACATAAGGAAATCTCTGAGAATACAGAAACAATGCAGAAGATGGAACCCAGTTCCTTTAAAACTCAAATGACACAAGGAAGATCAACTGTAAATTAAATTACCAGACAGTCCATAGACAGGTCTCAATTATTACTAACATCTTGCGCGTAGAAGATAGAAGAAATCTTCTATAATGTAATATGTATAAACGTTCTCTATCATTATGAAAATTGTTATCACATTCAATAAATAGAAACAAGGGAACACAGGATAAATATCCTATAACTTTGATCAAACTAATTGAAAATTGGACTATCTTGGTTTATCTTGGCAGCTACAAGAATATATCCTAACTGGTGTACAACCTATTAACAGTAAAACAAATCTCATAATTTACTTCTTACCCTTGCCTTTCTTTGGTGCCTGAGGTTTCCTTTTCTTCGGCTGTTTCCCTCCTACATCTTTCCCCTTCTTTTTAGTCGCAGCCTTCATGATATAGTAACCATGCATATACAAGGAAAAAGTTATTTCAAGGAAAATACTAGTATTATATTACATCATAACTACTGTGAATTGTTTAGTACATACCGGTTTTTTCTCTGCTTTTCCTTTAGCTTTTTTGTTAGGTTTCTCTTCACCCTCATTCTGATCACCTTTACTATCCTTGGTCATCTTATCAGTTTCATCATCTGAGTCAAAGTTGAACCCTTCCAGTGTTCCTACTCAGAAATTTTAGCATCAGATAAAGCCTCATAGCAACACAGGAGCTGCACGATGAATCTGAGTAGAATGAGGCTACAAAAGGACTTCAAAGGTTAAAAAACTAACCTTCAACCATAGTCTCAGCATCATAAACATTTGATTGAGGTTTAAGCTGAATAAAATCATTCATGATGGCCTCTATCTGCACAAGAGATACTAGAACAAATGAATTTTCATCACTACGTGATTCACACAATCTTATTATATCCCTCTTGATTAGATGAAAAATTCTAGATTAAACCTCTATAGGAGGCCAACCTAATTCATCATTGTGGATGAGAAGAGCACATTATTCACCTAATGTGGGACATAAAATTTTGGTGCCTTAACCGAAATGTAATGAGCAAAGTACAATTTCAGACACTTGATTTGGAGAAGAATATAGGACATCTTTGAATTAATGAAAAATGATAAATATGAAAAAAAAAAAAATAATGAGAAAATGTAAATGATAAAGGTGTAGGTATCATACAGACATACCTTGGCCTCAGACTGACCAATGCTAACCTGAAGAAAAATTACACAGATTAAGGTTCTTCTACATAAGGTATCGCTTTCACATAGCGAATGAAAAAATTTAGCCACAGCAAAAGGTAAAGACATTTAATGTCGAAAATATAGAAGGATATGGTAACGTACAACGTACCACACAGAAAGTCCTTGAAGGAACTATTACAGTCTTGTATATGGTTCCTGCATTACCATCAAAACAGAAAATTTTAACAAGGAATTGAGTAAACAGGAGGTATATGCATATCAGGAAAGATTAAAAACTTAATTCTATACATTGCATTCTGTGTCCTACAGTAGTACTGTGCGTCCCATCCTATATTAGTATATTGAATATGCCACCTCAACAGCATAGAAACTCTAATCTTAGGCTAATGACATTTGCTTCACTAAGATACTGACTTGGAAAAAATAAAAAGTGGCTGGACATAAGATAAGATGGCTAAAGGAATAGTCGAATAGAGGATCAACAATTACCACTGCATCAAAAGACAGAACATTGGCAACATTTATATTTATAAAAGAATGTCCCTAAAAGTTGTTAATAGCAGTTGAATTTATTTATTTATTTATTATTTTTTGTTTAACTTAAAGGGCAAGATTTGTACATTAGCTATCTATCGAAGGCTACGATTGCTCAATACACAAACCTTTTAAATCTAGAAACATTTCAGACTCTTTTGAAGGAGTCTCTGAAATAATTACTCGTCCAACAGCACCCATATCACCACTCAAATCAATTGATTCACCTTCACACTCAACAAGTGCCTGCAAAACCATATACTTCATATTACTACAAGAAATAATTATATTTCATATACTACCTCTGTTTTTTATTATATGCAACAAAATAATATTATTTGTGACGCATAAAATATTCATTTGTTGCAGATAAGGTGAAGTTATGAAACTCAAAAAATCATTTTGCTGAAAATATAGGATTAACTACAAGAAAGTAAGGAAGGGAGAGAAGGAAGAGTTGGAGGTGAAACAATTATCTTGAACAACATAGTTAAGTAAGATAACAAATTTGGGCTTAAAAAGGCCAAAAAAAAATTAAAAACATAAAAGTGCTTACCTTAGAGCGATGTACTTTATCAGGCAGTATCAAAGGCAAAGTAGAGGAGCTAGCCTACAATTAGCATAAAAAGGTGTATCAGCAAACCAAAGATTAGACACATGCAATATCAAGATATTAATGTCTCTCACTGCAGCTTCAGTTTGCTTCTCAAGTTTGTTTTCCTCTGCGATATCCATATTGCCAACTTCTCCTATCACACACATATACACAAAACATTATTACCAGAAAATGACTTATTTAAAATAAATTTAACAGAAGTACCTCTGGCTCTAAACAACCATGAAACTAAAACTTTGATTATTTACAAGCCATATTAAAAATTAAACTAATCTACCTTCCATTTTCACAGGCTCATGAGTTTTCTTCTCTGTCGGTTGAACATCTTCCTTTTTCATCTGTTTCTTTGTAGATTTTCCTATGACTGTACTTATGAGTGCAGTGTCGTCATCATCGTCATCATCCTCATCTATCTCTTTCTTTTCCCTCATAGTTGCATCTAAATTGGATTCAGAATCTGATGACAGATCACAAACTGAATGAATTGGTGCCTGTTAAATAATAACACACAAATTTGTATCAGAGGCAAGCAAATAAGCAAACTTCACAGAGCCTACCTGAAGATGAAGAAGCATAAGAGAGCCATTACTGCATCTCAATGCAAAGCAATAACAGGTGCACCCACATGACTCTCAAGTCTCAAGCCAGCAATAGATTATTGTCTTTTCAAGCTTAATCCGAGTGGATTTTAATTAGGGAGTATTATAAAACGGATAGAACTCATTGAAGGCTTAGCATGAAACTTACAGTTGCAGGAGTTTCTGCCGATTTATCAGATGTTTCTTCTCTCTTAACATTTTCATCATCTTCACTCCCTGTTTCATAAAAGGATCACATCAAGAACATACTACACTATAGAGAAATTATAAGGATTTTTTGTAGGAGAAGAATTCGTTGAATAGTAAACATCAGAAAACTATTGAGCATGGATATGTCAAGTTTCAGCCTAGAACTTCAAAGATTAGAACCAATCGCACTTTTATTTGTTCATATGAGATTGTTTCAAGACAATAGGTACTAGTGTTTTACAGACCTCTTTTTCCTGTTTTTATCCTTTTGGCAGTTGTTTCATCACCAGCTTTCAATCGTTTCTTAGTTGTCTTCTTGACAGGTGACTTCTTGTTAGATGACTTCTTTGTATGAGTCTTCGGGGAAATCTTGCAATTTTTTTCATCTTCTTCCCCATCTTCCTCTAATAAGTTTGATGTTCTATGCTTTATATCATTATCGTCTCTTGCAGGGCTTTTGTCACTAGAAGGCTCAGAATCAGATGACAAAGTTGTGATAGATTGAGTAGGAGCCTGTTCCACAAAATGGATTTTCAAAAACATAAGAACAAGCAACCAGACACTTCTCATAAAATAAATCAGAACAAAAACATTAAATAGATATATTTACAGCTTACTGCCCTAAAAGATCAGATAAAAAGGTCAAATTCTCTGCCAATTTGTGACAACTACAATGAATATTAAAGGTGCATTGCCGCATTGGTCATTTGGTCCTTAGACCTCCTGAATCTCGCATTCAATTAAAAACCTGATGTCTTACAGTAGCTTGATCAAATTTGTAGTCATAATATCAGAGAATTAAACCCCCAAATGTGCTCTATCCTGTTATTCAATCCAATACTACCACAAAAATATAAGAAGATCTAGAATTAATCCCATCACTAGTAGGTGTAGGTTTTGGTAAGGTCAGGATACAACATTTAAGCAATCTTACCCTAACAATCTGCACAGAAACCGAAACCGATAAACCTTTCGAACAAGCTCAAGATACATCCTTTTTCCGGCAAATTTGCCATAACATGACCAGCATCATACCAGCAACTCAACAAGCTACCCTTAACTAAGCTCACTTCAACCAGAAAAACAATCATTTAACAATTAACATCACTCCCTTCAACATCATTATCGTAACACATCTTGAACACTTCGACTATGTCACTGAACTACTTCAAACACCACTTCTCCAAAAATTAAACACTAGTACACACTGAAGACTGAACTGATACATGAACTCATTGCTACATTAAATCAACCATAAGATAAATTAATAATGAATATTACACAGTTCTTCAAATACCCTAATCCATCAACCTAAAATCTTAACATATTTCAAGAAAAAATTCAGCAACCCATAACTTAGAAACTGAATTTAAGCATCAGAAAATACCTGAAAAGAACGCAACCAATCAGGAGATGCCTCTCTAGAATCTCCCATCTTCAAGATTCGAAATTTCCAGCGTTTCTGCAACTAAGAAAAAACACTAAGATAGAAACGTTTCGAACAAAACTGATACTGTAGAAATGTAGAATTGGTGTAGTGATTGGATCCAAGTAGCAAGTATTGGGAAAATCGAACTAGAGGGTTTTACCAGATTATAACTAGAGGGACTATGAAATCAAAATTGTGCGAATATTTTCAGTGATTAAAATTAGGGTTTTAGAATTGGAAGAAAAAGGGGGATAATGGTTGTTCAAAGTGGTGGAGGGCGGCGACTGGCGGGAGGACGGTTTAGACAAATTAATTGGAGGGAAATTATTGTTTATTTTTTTGTTTACAGACGTGTATGATTTTTATTTTTTACTTACCATAAATAAATAATTATAACTTCTGACTTATCTTGTCAAAAAAAAAAAAAAAAACTTCAACTTATCTTAAAAAAAAAGATATTAGAAGGGTGTTAAAAAAAAATTAGAAGGTTTTTTTTTTAAAAAAATAAAAAATTATTATATTATTGTTACTTGTACAGTATAGCTTCTATATGGAGTAGTAAATTTGTGTGTATATGGAGTAGTAAATTTGTGTGTGTTAGTGAATTATATGGAGTAGTAAGTTTTACTTTACTCTGTTGAAATTTGCTCTATCTAGAAGCTCAAAAGAACTGTGATTCTGTGAAGAAACATATCAAACTACGAGTAGTAGGAAATTTTGTTAAAGAAGAATGTTCACCAAAAACCTAAATACTCCATAACCTCTAAACATAAATTTAAAACTTTTAAAAATACACATAAATTTCAAAATAATAATAGCCGTAAAACCTTGTGATATATGACACATTAGTCTACAATCACAGGAACATGTAAAACCCTAAGGAAATAAACCAAAGGAAAGCTAGTTTATTTAAGAGATTAGATGGAATGAAAAAAAAAAAAAGATGGATTAATTCAAAAATGTAGTTGAAAAAGGAGAACTATAGAAGGGGTTGAAAACTTTAATTTTCTATTAGTTGAAATTGTATTAAAGATTATATTTGTAACTTTCAAATGTACATTTCAAAGTTATTTCCTATAATAAAACAAATTTTTATAGTTTGAGATATTGGTTAAGGAAAGGAAAAGAGACAATATTAAAATAGCTTAGGCCAAATAGAAAGTATCAAAGCATTAACCTTGGAAATGGTAAAAGAACCAAAATGTCTTTACAGAATTAGAAGGGGTTAAAGAAAAATATTAAAGGAGATGAGGAAGACAAAATAATTATGGTTAAATGAGCAAAAAAGTTTTCAGACTAACAGCTAAAAACATTCAAAATACCAAAAAAAAAAAAATTAAAAAAAATATAATAAAAAAAAAACTTTCTGAAAATGGTTTCATTCATTTTGTTAGCTACCGGAACAGTAGTCTTGATAAGCATGAGTTTGATGACTATATCAACTATCTTCTCTGCTATCTGCCCTACTGAGAGGCAACGCAAAACCGATCCATATGAAGGGAAAGATGGCCAAGCCTTCTTTCAGACTGTTTATCAAAGTGACTCGTGGTGATCGCCATGGTTCAGAGATCAGGCTATGGAATAGTCATGCTCCTCAGTCTTGGACTAAAGTCTCCTGCTGCCAGGTAAGGATAATTGCTATGATGCTGAGGAATGAAGATGTTATTGTGAATGGTTTCTGAATGATGTTTGCTTAATCACTGTAACTGTAGTATACGCTGTGTCCCTGTGATGCATAAGCTTGATCTTGTTCATTGTATTTCATTTGATTTCTACGGAGTATGTATTTGTTTCAAATGAAGAATGGAAATTTTGCCAATAATCTATGGTCTAAAAGTGTTGTTCATTTATAGGTATTACTCTTATTAGGCATAAATGCATAATGATCAAGAATTCTATGCAACAAAGAGGAAGTACATACTGATGATTCACAAAATAATAATAGATGCTAATGATCATAGAAATATCGGTACACAATATATTGCATACAAGCTACCTTTTTCTGTTCACCTGGGATTTTTCCCCAGAATAATACTCCGTATATACTTTGTATGAATAATAATATAAATTAAAGTATAAAACGCCAGAGAGGCTCAAGGGCTTCTGTATTATCCTGAATATCATCCGCACTGGAAACCTGCTGCTACATGTGATACTGAGATGCATCCTCATTAGATGTACTTCAGTGAGGGAGTGCTGTGATGCCATAACCCCGCCAACCATATCACAGAGATCAAGCTTTAAATGACTGAAGTCCAGTTGATCAAGGCTGAACAGCACTTTTACAAAATTCCAGCTTCAAATGACAGATGACCAATCTCTAACTCAAGAAATGTCTTCAGCAAATATGATGTCATAGATTAACTGTACTGCAATCCACAACATGAGATGACATAAGAACTTCTATCTCTACGTGCAGCTCATCAAAGTCACAGTTATAAGAAAGCTTCTCGGCTTTCTGCAAGCCCCGCAACAGAATAGAAAAGAGATGCTAAGATAACAGGAAAAATAACAATCACAACTTTATCTGCTTAGTCCAAATTTTTACAAGCTGCAGACATTTTTCTAGATCAAACCTCTCTTATGTCAACCAGATCAACTACCACTTTCAGGCAAAGTTGACAAAAATAAAGTTTACTAAGTGTGCATAAAGTAGATCAAGTCAGAAGGAAAAAGTACAGACTAAACGTGAAGAAGGGTGGGATTTAAAAGGTCAATGCTGAGTCTGAGAGGGAAGTGTAACAAGCCTATGTTTTGTCATATGCAAAAGCAATACTTGGCCATCCCATTGATCCAGTCAAAATCCAAAATCAAATAACAAGGCAGATAAAATCCAGATGGGAGTGAGTACGGAGACATTGGAATATTTGAGTAAGTTGTCACATAGAATTGCAAATACTAGTACTCGGAAATCAAAAGGCCTTGTTCAAGGAAGGATATTTAAGCTGCAGCATATATGCCAATGACAGCATACATACCTTCATCTCTTGGAATATTTGGCTGATCGAACAAAAGCTGACGCAATGCTCCCAAATCTTTGGAACTGAATGCAATTGAGCCTTAGTTAGAATCACAAATATCAAGACACAATAATGGCCAACAAGTGCATTTGTAACACAAGATTTTCAAACCCAAGCAATGCTTTTGAAACTTCTAAGATCTTATGGTTCCACAACATAGATAACATATATCTATAAGCAATAGCAGACCATATGACAAAAATAGCCACATGTCACAGCAATGAAATAACATCCCTTAGGAAATAATAGGAACATAAAAATTCTCCAATTTCTGAACTGTATAGTAGATAATTTTTAATAATGCAAATCATTAACAACGACAAGCCCTTTTTCTTCTTATTCTAATTTTTAATTCTAAGAACTCACAGCCGTTAGTGATTACGGAAAATTGCATTAAACCCATTTCTTATCATATTGTACCTGGGCTTTAAAGCAATACTCAAGAGTGCAGAAACCACTGATGATTTAAGACGGTACCTACATAGAAAACGGAAGATAATGTAAGCTTTAATATGCTTTGACAGTCTTGACACTTGAGGAAAAAGATAATTAAGGCTTCAGCAGAGAGAAATAGCAAAAAGCCTAATCCCTCAAATCCCCCTGATGGTTGGAAACAAGCGACTAATCGTAAACAATGAGGAAAGATAATCCTTAAATGTATCACTCCACCCATACAATTTATACCTTGGTGAGTCATAAAACCAATTCTTATGAATAAGAACAAGCAAAAACAAAGAAGCCAAGTTGAACGTACTCAGAGCTGTGCATCTCCTGCAAAATAGCAAGCCCATCTAAGCAATCTGAAAGACTTGGTTTAATTCCCACTCTTTGCTGCAGTTGTTTAGTGGAAAGCACATGAGATCCTCTTCCAGCAAGCTGCCTACTGTCTCTGACCATCTTTTCCAGAGACAGTACAATACTGTGGAAATCCTCCCTACACAAAGCTCCCAATTAATTTAAAGTCTGAAGTATTCAATATCATGCTATCATACAATCTAATTCCTCTTTAAATACAACGAGGGGAAACACCCACCAAACCAAAACATCCAAAGAAGCTAAAGATTAAGATATAATCACTATCATAGTTTCTGTCATTTACAATTAAAATCCAGGGATAAAATATATGCGCCAAACGAAGTTCAGTTAATTATGCAGAACTAAGCTCATCCACCTAATAAAGCCACACAAAATTTTATTCAAAAAGACTTTTTTGCACATTACCAACTTTGCAGCATAAATTGAAGTGAAACTTAAAACTTTTATACACTAGACAAAACCCTTATCATAACTCTATTGTTGTACTACAATCTTTAATGTCACATTGATTTTTTTTTTTTTGTTTTTTTTTTTTTTTTTGGTTTCCCCGTTTTAGCTATACCAACTCTAACGACTATATGGTCTATATCCAATCGCCATATCATCAGTAAGGTTACATGCTTATATGCCAATTCTTGTCAATTAGAAGCAAATGTAGCCATAAATCTCATACAGCAGAAAAGACATAATTATTTTCATGAGCAATGATTGTATTTTTTTAAAACATCAATATCGATCAATTGTCAACTACAATGTTTTGCCAATTGACTACACTTAACCTAATTAAACTTCAATTGTGAACACACAAGTCACATAATCTTCTTACAACAAAACTACTAACACAATTTAGGGTCTTAACTCTTAAGACTAGAAGGGCCAGACACGGCCATGTTATGAAATTGACCAACTTATGTTACAAACAGAAATATTTGGCCATATGGGTGCTTGAGGTGAAATGAAGAACTCTCAAGTAAAAAGATGTTCAATTGCAAACAATAAAGCAACAAGAACAAAATAAAGTACTATGATAAACAAATTGAACTAACATAGTCTTCTTAATTGAGAGCAAAATTGTCTCCAAAGACTCCATTTGCTTCTGCAAAACTGCATCTTCAATCCCATCAACACCCTTCAAACAACCATAATTCTTCTTATTTCCAATCACCTAAACAGAAATTTCCCAAAATCATAATCAAGTTTCATAATTAATGCGCCAAGATTGAAACTTTAATCTAACACAAAATCAAATATAAAAAGAGTGAATTTAAAATGAAAATTAGAGACCTCAATTCTTCCAATAATCGAAGAAGCATTAGAAAACTGAGAGAGTAGGCGGGATTGAATGTCTTCCCAATTATCCATTTCTTCTCGAACTTTCTTGAATTTTTGTTGATATTTCTTGAGAATATTTTCCATAACAAGAGAAAGAAGTGTTTAACAGATGGTGGTTGTGGCAGAGGAGGCGGCGGTAGGAGTCGCGGCAGGTTGGTCTGGCTGTCTGAGGAAGTGAAAGAAGTGCACTAGTGAGAGTGTTGAGTTGGTTAGGAGCCGACTAGCCGAGGAGGTTTTGAATTATATACTTGGGGTTGGGGCCCTTGAGGGTGTGAATTTAAAACAACTTATGAGCTGGTGGTGATGGCGCGAGGATGGTGTTGGGGACGGCGGACGAGATGGTGGTGGTGCTAGATGTGAGTGCGTGACGCACGTCCCCAATTGGTCGGGTAAGTATGTAACATCTAAGTTTGTTGAGTATATGAGAGGGTTGTATTGTCATGTGGTGCAACCGTTATATGGGAAATCTTTCGATTCAAATGAAAGGGATTTAAAAAAAAATAAAAAATCAATGTGCGATTTGATTTTTACATTTTTTTATGTTAATTTGATGATTTACTTAAATTTAACCCTATTCAATTAAGTAATCAATTTACTTGTCAAATAATAAATTAGAATATGTATGGATGTATGTTTGAGATTGAAACTCACTCATTAAGTTCCCTAGTCTTAAGGAACATTTCCTAAGCTTCATAACTACAAAGTCTACATAACAAACTATCTGAAATGGGGGTAAACATGATGTAACTACGATATTAAACTTTTAGATGCCAAGTATGTTATTTCGTGCACCTGATATGTTTTTTTTTCGGAAGTGCGCTCGTTCGTTTAAGATTGTATTAATTTGCGCACTCATATAACTCCTATAATCTATATCATAGGTTAATTTTGCGTTTTAAATATTTTACAATTATTAAACCATTAAACATTTAATCCCTTTCCATTTTCCAAATATAGCTAAGCCAATAAACTCCCACACCTATTTGCCAGGTTAGGGAATTGGGTCGAGTGACAGCAAAAACTTGTCTTTTGCCACTCCAAATTCCCATTTTATCTATCCATCCACACAACTCTGAAAACCCCTCTTCTCATCTTCTCCCCAAAAACCCCTAAAACCCCAGAAAAGCAATCCACCATGGGAGATGGAAAGCAAGATGTAATGGCGGTTAATTCACCAAAGGGTTTAATTCAACAAAACCCAATTACCCAAATTCAATCTGAAATCAAAAAATTGGAAGTTAACGTTAAATCTTGGCTTTCTAAACAATCTATTCCTGTTGAAGCTGCTGTTGTTACTGCTGGTGGGGCCATTCAAGGTGCCCTTATTGGTGGTCTTATGGGTACCTTTACACAGGATTTATCCTCCTCCATGCCTATGCAACCTCCTCCTGGTAGCCTTGACCCTAATGCTATGGCTAGTTTAAAACAAGCCCAGGTTTAATTTCGAGTTTTCATCATTTCTCATTTTATTGTATTCTTATGGGATGAAATTTGATGTTTTTTATGTTACTTTGAGTGTTATTATTTGGGAAAGTGAATAATTTGATTCTGTTTGGTTATATCTTTAATGTGGATATGAGTGTATGACTGTTGTTTTGTGGATAGTGCATAATTTGATTGTTTTTGGGTATATGTTTAATTTGGATATGAGTGTTTTTATGTTAATTTGAGTGTTATTATGTGGGATAGTGAATAATTCGATTGTGTTTGGTTATATGTTTAACGTGGGTATGAGTGTATGACTGTTATTTTGTGGATAGTGTATAATTTGATTCTGTTTGGGTATATGTTTAATATGGGTATGAGTTTTCTTGTATATTAGATGTTTATACAATCTTATGGAATGATCTTTGAATTTTGTTGTGTACATATCATCCCATTTTGCATTGATTTTGAGAATGAATCCCCTGATATCTTCCACGTTGGATTTGAAGTTCGGAACGTTTGTTGATTTTAGGATTATTGTTCAATTACCTGAAAATGGATTTTGGAATTTTGGTTATAAAGAGGGTTGAGTGGTGTTCATTGAGTCCCTATAATCTCGTTTTAGAACTGGCCAAATGTATTGAGCTTCATGTTGGGGTGCTCAAATTGTTATATCCCGCTTAGTTTTTCGCTTTACACATTTCGGATTGGGGTGGCTTTATAGATTGTAGACACTAAGGGTTACCATAAGAAATTAAATTAACTACTTTTGATTTTTGTTTGTGTGAAAAGGTTTGGGATTTCTAGTGCTACTTCTTACCAATACATTTGTAGAAAAAAGTCCCTATACTTTCATTTTGGTACTGACCTATGAGTAATATATTGAGCTCCTTGTTGGGGAGCTCAAGCTGTTATGGTTTGTCTAGGTTTTTGTGCTCCCTCCATGGAAGGAGTTGATATAATTCAAAGCTGTTGTATCAATATCTAGTTTATGCATCGATGTCCTACATTTTGTGATCCTTGTAGAAGAATAATAGGTTATTTTCATAATCATACCATGTATCGTGTGATGGGGAAATTGATTGCAATTTATAGCACTGTTATAATTTGGGTGGAGTAAAAAGTTGCATCATTTGGAAAAAGGGGGTTATGTTTAACTATTTCAAAAAAAAAAAAAAATTATTTAGCCCCATTCTCAAATAGAAAGTTGCCTTCATCTAGTGCTGGGATTTAGGATGGATCTTTATATATATATATATTGTGTGGTGGTGGTGGGATGATGCTTCTAAGTTTATTGAGAATGAAAGGAGCTACCTCCTTTCTAATGTATAACTATATCTCCTACTTGATGACCAAGCTTTCACTTTTTACCTTTTACAGCCTAACTCCTATTTTATTATTTGTGCAGTTATTGATTTTTTATTTTTTTAATCTTTAGTACTTCGTATCTAAAATATCTATGCACTTGGAAGTTACTGATACAATTTAATTTGTGTGTTCTAAATATCATTTCAATAACTAAGTAACTAACATTTCCTCGATATGTGAGGATGACTTTCTAAGACATTTACTAAAAAATTAGGGAAGTATATCAGCTTGTGCTTGGTGCTAGTCTTGATAAAGTCTTTTCTTGTAGGCTCTCTCTGGGGGTCCATTGGTTCAAGCTCGCAACTTTGCTGTCATGACAGGTGTCAATGTTGGCATCTCTACTGTTTTGAGGAGAATCAAAGGGAAGGAGGATGTATGGTCCAGGTAAGCTTGCCAAATTTCTCATTTGTTGATAATTTTTAGAGGTTTGTTGTTCATTTTTGCTACAAAACCATTTTGCAGTTCTTGCAGAGTTGCAGTGTGACTTTTATTTTTAATCTACCCTTTTGTTTTGCTTCACTGTTGCACGTATTGATTTTGTGTTTGTTGGTTATTGGCAATGGTGCTCTTGCCTCTCTATTTCAGCTCTAATTACCTGGGAAATATGAACAAATTGATTAAGTCGAACAAGTTAGCTAGGCCATCAATCGTTGAAGTACTGGGTTGAATTTTTTTTTTTTTTTTAAAAAATATATATAGAAATTCCTGGTTTAGGAATTAGGAGACACCTCCTTTGTGTCACTTTATTTCTATTGTTTATTTGTTTATAACTTCTCTGTCAAAATGTTTATATGTGTATTAACTTGATAAATTGCAGCATGGCAGCAGCATTTGGTTCTGGGGCCATGTTTTCTTTGGTTAGTGGTATGGGTGGGCCAAACCAAGTTTCCAGTGCAGTCTCATCAGGAGCCTTTTTTGCCCTTGCTCAAGGAGGAATTTACAAGGTTTGTAATGTATTTTTTCTAGTCTAATTAATTATACTTCTCTATACCTTTTGTCTTTTCACATTCCAGTATGGCAGTATCCATATTGATGAGCTTGATCAATTGGGAATATGGACTCTTGAGTCTTGATAATCAAACCTTGAATCTTGATGAGAGATAATTCTTGTACTGGATGAGCTGAAAAGACATATTGATAGTGCCGTGTTAGTGCATGTTGAGACTTTCAGCACCTGGGTATTTGCCGTCTTATTGCCCCCTTGCCTATAATGTTGTTGTGTTTAAGATTTGAAGTGATAACTGATCAGTTCAACGACTGTTTGTCACTGACACTGCTGTTGTGCTTCATAGGTTTAGTATCGAGATTGTATCTTTTATTTCTATATATTGAAGTTATTAGCCTTTTATTTATGCAGCTAGGAGAAAAGTTCTCTAAACCAGTGGTGGAAGATGATCCGTTCTATGCTAAAACAAGAAGTTTGTTATTTAGCCTTGGCCTCCAAAGCTATGAGAAAAACTTTAAGAAAGGCCTGCTGAATGATCGCACATTGCCATTGCTCAATGATAGGTAAGAATCAGTGCTCGTATTTCTTGTCGTCCGTGTTGTCTCTCATATTATTTTTTGTATTGGCAGTAGATTGTAAACTGATAGATATGGTGGTGCCGAAATCGGGTTAAATTTGCTCATAAGTGTTATAATCTTTTACTGTGTATTTCTTGGACTTTCCGATTAACCTCAAGTACCCGTACATATCAAATATTCCGACATAGAATTAACACTTGGCCACTTGGAGGCTTGGAGCTAAACAATTTCAAAATTTCCCTAATGTTGTTCTACGCCTGGATATGTACCCATATCTAACTCTCTAGGTCTGACTATTTGAGTAATCTAGGCCTGGATAATTCAACTATTGGGAGTGTTGATCTCTATTCTCTTCTCTTAAATGCTGCTTGAGGTTATTGGTCTTTCCAAATTCTGCAATCTTGTAAACTCTTAATAGCATATCCTTCCAGTCCAATCATGACATTCATGAGATAGATGATAGATAGGGAAGCAGGAAGAGGTTAGGACTTAGGAGAGAAGAAGGATCAGGAAGACATAAATCACTGATAGATCTGGACTCTCTGCTCTTTAGATGCATGTTTTACTTTCTTTCTAATGTAGTTTATAAACCTTGATTTTCGTGTTTCTTCCCGTGTTTTGTTTAATCACAGAACTAAAATAGTAACAGTGAAATTAGTTTGATTGAAAACTTCCGAATTAGTCCAACTGTAGCACATTTGCATTTTCACGAATGCTAACAGCTAACGTCTTTGAATGATTTGCATGTTCTTTTCAGTGCTCTTAGAGATGTAAAGATTCCTCCTGGCCCAAGGCTTCTCATTCTTGACCAAATTGAAAGGTTTGATCTTTTGCTACATTCATGCATGGCATTTTGTATGAATCCGATCTGATTTTTGTGTATTTGTTAACTTTGGGTACAACTTCATCAGGGATCCAGAGCTTAAAGAGAGGCGAAAAAAGTAGAGTGCTTACATTGTTGTCAGGCAAGCTTACAGGGCAGCAAAATATGTTTTATCGGTAGAGGGGAGTTGAGTCCTGTACTGTAGGTGGAATTTCATTTCAAAGGTAGATTATTGTTGTTAAATTTTTAACTACGATTATGTTGTAGTTACTTTGAATTCTTATTTATCTATGTGAACAACTAGGTTTTTGACAGTATTATTCCAATTAATAACAATAAGAGGCGAAAAATTGAGGATGTAGTAGCTAGGTTTAAATACTTCTACATGGCAGTAACAATCTTGTGCAGCTTCCAAGCTACCAGTATCATGCATTTCATGCTACATGAAAACGTTGGCATTCAAGGAGTTTCATCTAAACACTTTAAAGTCTTTAAATCATTGTAAATCTGCCAAGATTTTACTGTACTCACAGTTGGCCATATATTGGTTCGTCTAACTGAAGCTTGTTTAAAAAAAATGTTGGAGGGAACATCTCCAATTTCGTTTTCTAGGCACATTGCATTACATTTCTGGTACCTCTACACACATCACGTACAACCCGAGTGTGCATAGAGTTTAGATGACACTTATTTGCGATTGATACACGGCCATTAAACCTTGTCCTGTTCAAGTTTCCAACATCGACTGTCCAACTGTTGCTGATAAATTTTGTAGACTTGGTAGAGTATAAGAGACGTAAATTTTGTACTCTACCAAGTTCCAGCTTGAACTTTGAGCCTCTATTTTATACGTCAAGGCTTCTAATTAGCTCATTATGTTGAGTCTTTTTCACTCTTCTTGGTTTTTAATGCTTTGCTTCTTTGTGTATCAAGGAGTTTGCCACTTTTGAATTTAATGTCATTTGTTCTATTGTAGCCTTTGAAACTATATCCAAGTTTTAAAATTTTAAATTATACTTGTAATTATACTACCTTCGTTAATGGTTACCTGCAACTTTGGAATTTTTTATGTCTCACAAATAATACCCAAAAGTTGCAGATTATCATTAACGGAAATAATATGTTCATTATCTTTAAACTATATGCTTACTTGGATCAAAATTGACATTTATGGTGGGTCTATCCCGTCTATAATATAATTTTAACCAAATTTGGATTTTTGAAAGGTGACTGATTTGTAATGTGGGATATTTGGCCATTGATGTTGTTGAAGCTGTCCCTTGCAAGTTGCAACTTTAACCATCTGAATTGTGGTCAAGTGAGGGTGCTTGTGGTAGACCGTAGAGTTCCTCTTACCTTCCAATGAGAAAAATGACAAATGGTTAGGAATGTTTGCTACACAAAATTAAAGCAATAGGGTATTAACACTTTTTGGAAATTTCTCAATAAATCATGAAGGTTGAGTGTAAATTGTTTTAAGCCAACTAACAAACTTTCTGTGTAATAATATTTATGTGGTATATTGACAATTGACTTATGGAGTACATATGTATTGTTAGTGGAATTTAAATGAACAATTTTTTCAATTTTTTGTGTGTAATAGTATTTTTTCATGCTTGAATGCTTTATCGAAATTAGACTTTGATTTCCAATTCATTCCTTGTTAAATGTTGAGGTCAAATGTTCTATGTTCTATGTTCATTCCAGCCTCTAATTTCGTTTGCAAAATGAGGTTGAAGGTTGTAAAACTTTTAAGTAATCAAATATATCGTTTTTATAGGTAAATGAAAAAATTCTTGTCAAATATTTATGTTAGAGCGTTTATCATTCAAATTTTAACATAGATAATATTTTAAAAATTATTATTGAAGAATCCAAAAACGACTTTTAAATTACAAGTAGAAGATCATATTAGGCATTCTTTTGGTAGGATCAAAGACAAATATATAAATTAGTAATTTTAAAATTTAACTTTGATTTTTAATTTTAATTTATTTTTTTTTATAAAAAAGGCATTATTACAACTACAAGGATTATGAGATTTTGGAGAATCACTCATTATGTATAGTGTAGTTAAGTGGATCCAACATCCTAATTATACAAATAAATCACCGTCATTTTTTTAGAAATAAACTATAACTTCATTTTATATCCGAAACATCATCTGAAGAGTTGGATGGGATCAAGTTACAAAACTCATGAGATTGCTAATTGTGTAGGGTTAAGATTTTGGTGAAATTATATTTTGAATTTCAAAAATTATGTTTCATTCATTTGTAGCAAGTAGATTCATACTTGATGAATCATTAATATTAGTATGAGTAGTTTAGCACTTTTGAAAGAAAAAGTAGTGTAAAAATAATTTGTAAAATGAAAATCAATCCATAAAAGTCTTAAATCCTCTTAATTTCATAAGTAGTATCGGCTACATAAACGGATGAACCATTAACATCCATCATTATTTTGTCAAAACACTATTTAAACTAAGTATTAAGTAGTGGTAGTAATGTGGTGATTACGTTTTAGTAGCTTTATTCTCTTATGCGTGTATATCAATTGAATGTCCATATCCTATATTTATAGCTGAAGATGGAGATCATTCTTTTAGTCTTAATATTCTTAACTTTCAATGTCAAGAATTCTCTAAAATGTTGTAGTAGATAATTCTAGAGAAAATATGAGTAAGTAGTAACCTAACATGAATATATTGCAAAGAGAGTAGAGAAAATTATTCATAATAGGCTCATTTAGGTTAGAGCGTTGTGCCATTCAAATATCTCCCAAATTCCAACCATACATCATTTATGTGAATTATAAGGTGAAAACAAATACTTGAAATTAATTTTAACAAAGATCTTATTTTCTTTCTTTCTTTTTTTTTAATGAAGAAGTCTAAAACAACTTTTGAAGAGCAACTAAAGTCAACATTATTAGAATTTTATACTCCTAACGGGCTGTTTGGTAAGTGGGATTATGGGTTGGGAATGGGAATAATAATCCCTAGTCTTTGTAAACTCATATTTTGTTGGTGGGAATTATGGAGTATAATATAAAATGGGAATGTGCATGGGAATAATTAGCTTGTAACCCCTACATTTTATTACTTGGGGGTGACAAGTAATATTTTGGGGGAATTCACTAAATTGTTAAAAAGACAATATTACCCTTGTTTTGTGCCATACATTTTTGTGGCATATGATAATAAAAGGACAATCTTGTAAATTTTGCTTTTAATCCCTCTATTATTCCCACATACCAAACATAGGATTTAAAATTTCTCAATCATATTTCCAAAAACACAGGATTGAGATTATTTCATGAATTCCCACCTATTAATTTCCATTTCCACTTCCACCCTATATTCCCCAAATTTCCAATTCCATTTGCCAAACGCCCCGTAAGAGTCTAAGAGTCTAACATAACTAAGAGTCTAAGATAAGACACAAAAGAATATACTCTGTATAAATTAGTAATTTGTAAAGTAACTTTTTTTTTTTTTTCTATTTTAAAAGAAGGCATTACCGTGAACTCAGAACCCTTAAACGAATGGTATATTGACAAAGTAATTACACAAGTGGAAATTATATAATGCCACAATATTAGATGGGAACAACATATACAAAAAGTATGTTCATATTCTTCCTTCATTGACAACATATCTCACAAAATCAGCCATATTTCCTCAATTTTAAGATTACAAAACTCACCCAACTACAATAATACTACAAATAAAAATTACAAAATTATAAAAATATTAAAATATTATTGTGAGGGAGGAGAAATTGAAGAAGATTGGAGGAGCACGTGAGCACGTGAGAGTTGATCCATCAACGCAGCAATACGCGCGTTGTACTCACGCGCTTGTTCGACGGCTTCAACTTCAAGTTCTCCTAATTGTGAACAAAGTCTCTCCTCGGCCTCTTCCGCCACCCTAACTCTCTCCCAAGCTCTTTGCAACTCTCTCTTCATTTTCTCTTCTCTCTCCAAACTCTCCCTTAACTCTCTTTCCAATTCCGCATTTTTCTTTCTCATCACCTCCATGTCGATATCCTCGACATTTTTCTTTTTATCCGAGGATTTACCATTATATTGTGATGAAAAAACGGCAATAGTAGGTGCCATCGTTGTAACAAATATAACACAAAATGACAAAAACAATACAAAATTTTACTCGATTATTTTATTCGGGAGGAGCGTGGTGTAGACTCAAAAGAAAAGGAGAGTGGTGTTGATAATGTAAGAGGTTATGAATCTTATGATTATGGATTGATTGGAGAGAAAGAAGTTTAGAAGGTTTGATGTGTAATGTTATTGGTGTAGAATGAAATGGCACCATATTTTTATAGGACATATTTAGGGTGTCTAGGTTCAATGTATCTAGTTATAGCATCTTTCATGATATTGGTTTATCTGTTATTTTTTGTTTCCTTTTTTTGTCATTTCTGTTGTTTTTGTGATCAGCATTGACGTGTATGCTTGTGGAATCATATATTTTGGGCTGTAACTCTTTAAGCTTGTAATTTTTGGTCCTTTATCTTTTTTTATGGGCCCAAAACTTGACCATTGATGGGAGCCTACAGCCTACTAGCCTAGTAGGGTAGAACCGTAGAAGCTTCTTTGGTATTTCCACTTGCAAGTATTTGTGAGTTAAACAATAGAAAGTACTTGTATAGTCGTATACTATGGTATTTGTTTTTGAAAGTTTTATTGACACAATAGTATCTGAAAGTATTTGCGAGTTAAACAATACGAAGTACTTGTACAGTCGTATACTATATTTGTTTTTGAAAGTTTTATTGACACAATAGTATTTGATACACATTTCAATGTACTGGTTTGACTTCAGGTATACTTCGTATGTATATTACAATAGTTACAACACCTTATAAAAGAAAGGTTTTTATGCTGATATGAAAATTGCATTCCACTATTACCTTTATTTAAAGCTCATAGGTCACTTGATTATTTAATTAATCCCATTTTAAATGTATTATATCATGCAATGTCTTCTTTAAAAAAAAAAAATCATGTGATGTCTGCTTTAATATTGTTAAATATATACCGTGTTAAAGTATGTTGCAACTATAAAGAAACGAATGAAGTAATTCTTTAATTTTTTTTAGGAAAATTTGATTTAAATAATCCAACCTTTGACGTATTTGTTTTTAATAATCTTACCTTTTGATTATTATACAATAATCCAAGCTTTGTGGAATGTTCTATTTTATTAGGCCATGCAGGTCACTTAACCTATAATAATAGGCCACCTGCCACGTGTCGCATTATTACTTGTCCAGATTTTTTTATTATTTTTATTTTTAAAAAACTTTTTTTTTCCTTTCCTCTTCATCTTCTTCCTCCAATCCTCCCTTCCACACCTCCATGATTGGCTACCCATTTCCGACCAGACCTTTGCCCACCACACCTCAACCTCACCTCCGGCAGCAAGGAACCCCAATCCACCAGCCACCACCTTGGTCGAAACACGACACCCCGAACCCAGAAACCCGACTTCGAATCCAGAAACACCCACCCACCATCGAAACTATGGAAAACCGTACCCCTAGCCACCGCCGATTTTTTTAAATTCTCTCTCCTCCAAATCCATCTTCTTCTTTCTTTCTCCCTCTGTTTCAATTTCCCTCCATTTGTAGGAAATTTTCGATCTTCAAAACCTTAGAATTTACCCCTAATTTAGGTCGATGTTGTTGTAATTGGTGGCTGCTTGCGGTAGTTTAGCGATGGCGGTCATGGTGGTGGTGAGATGTTACGGCCACCGTTGGTTGTGGCCAAAGTGGGCGGTTGTTGTGAATTACTTGAACGACTGTTGTTCGAGGCTGCGTTGTTGAATGGGTGCTTTGGTTGAAGTATGGGCAGTGGTGCGGTGGCGATGAGGGCTGTGTGGTGGTTTCAGGCGAAAGAGGAGAGAGGTTGTATGGGGGTTGTCGGTTGGAGCAATAAGGCGTGGTATTCTAGTGGCTGGGGGTCGTTGAGTGGGCACCAACCCAGTGACGGTGGTGTTGCGGTGGTGGCAGCTATGGGGTAGGAGAAAAAGAGAGGAGGGTGGTGGGTTTGGGGAAGTGGGAAAGGCTAGAAATGAAGGGTTTTTTTTTTTTTTTTCTTTATTTATTCTGATTGAATTTTTTAAAAAATGAAAAGAGGTTTAAAAAAAAGGAAAAAAAAAACGGTTCATCAGGTAAGTGGTCATATTGGCCTGATAAAATAGAATGGGATATAAAGCTTGAATTATTGTATAATAATCAAAAGATTGGATTATTAAAAATAAATATGTCAAAGGTTGGATTACTTAAATCAAATTTTCCATTTTTTTATATACATTTTTAAAATACAATATTTATAAGTAATTAAGAGTATAGAAAATTGACCAAAGTCTTATTAGATTGTCTCTGCACTTGTATTTTCCAAAAAAGAAAAAGAAAAAGAAAAAGAAAAAGAAAAAAAACAAACAAAAATCATGTGAAGGAGCCTCAGCCCCTCAATTAACCTATTGATTGCATTGGATTCATTCTTTTTCTTTAGTGCATTATTTCCCACTATACAACTATATAAGTATATATTGTTCTATTAACTCCCATTGAAACATATGGCCTACCAATAATAATCAGTGGCGGACGGGCCCTTGTGCCTGGTGGGTCAAATGACTCACCAGGGCCCAAAAAAAAATTTCTAACTTCAGGTACTGAGGTGAGCCCGATTTGACGAATTCCTCAAGCAGTCAAGCCCTAGCCCACTTTGCATCTTCCTCTTCGCCTCTTCCTCTTCACCACTTCACCAAATCACCAGACTACCTCCACCCTCCAGTGCTGGCGTGCTGCTGCTAGCCTAGTCGCCTGCTCTGCTGCAGTGCTGCTCAGTGCGAGTGTGCCGTGTGCGACAGACCGACAGTGCTCACTGCTAGTGCTCTTCGCTAGTTCGCTTCGAGTCTTCGACGCTTCTTCTAATATGCTATTCTCATTTTGCTAGTAAGTTGATTTCTATTTTAGTTTAAAATTCTAATCTTCAATTCAATTCACTAATTAGTTAATTTTATTAAACTTGGTTTAAACTTAGGTTGATTTTTAGTTAACGCTTCCTCTTCGCTAGTTCGCTCACGCCTCCAGACTCTGACTCAGCAGGTATCAATTCTACCTTTTTGAGTGCTGAGATGGCTAAAAGTTCATTCAAATTCGAGCACCCTCTTGGTTTGTTACAATTTCTTGATTTGGGATTTTTTTTTTGCCCCCTGAAAATTTTGGTTTTGTTCCGCGTTATTTGGATGTTTGATGATCAAATTTTGTGAATTATTTATCTGGGTTTGTTTTTAAGTATGAATCTTCGAAGCATTTTTGGCTTTTCTTGGTGTAATTTGAATATTTGGTGATCAAATTATGTGAATTATGCATCTGGGTAGTTTTTATAAGACTATATATGAATGTCGGAACAATTATGCTTGATTATGTTAATTATTGCAGTAATTTGTATCTTATAACTTGTAATTTGATAAAGGTTTTGCTTGCAAAGTTTAAAGTCTTGTGTTTTTTCTAATAATGAAATATAATTAAGGATGTTGATTTGATTGATGAATTGTTGTGGTGTCAGAGGTTAGTTGAATATTCTCTCTTTTCATCTCCTTGTTTCATATACTATTATGTTCAAATGATTTTACTTGTATTTGGAATTCTAAATTTTGATTAGTTCTCACTTCAATATATGAGTAGCTCGGAAAAGTTGATTTTTTTTGCTGCAATTTCATGTTATGTTGACAAACTGGTTAAAATTTCTAAAGGGTATTTTTAACATTGTAAGTGTGTTACAATTTTATGGTGGGATGATGTTATATTTTGTTTAAATATGTGGGTTGTAGTACTATTATTTGGTTGTTTGGTAAAAAAAAATTTTTACATATTTGATTATCGATTGTGACTCACCAGTCGGAAATTCCTGAGTCCGCCACTGATAATAATAATGATATAAAAGTCGTAACAAGCACTATGAGATATTATATGGTGGAGATTGAAATATGACAATATAAATATCAATATCAAAAAATTAAATGATGTATCTCATCTCATGTAGTAGGTAATTTTTTTCAAAGATGACGTTGCTAATGCTAGGTATAATCCACCTACTAAACTAGAATCCGCATGAATCAAGCTTAGTTATTATATATGTCATAAATTTCATTTTATTAGTGATTTAAGTTATACTTGTAGGTATTACTAGAAATTCGAGTATACTACTCAATCTAAAGTCGCTCTCAAATCTCAATTGGTTTTGGTATTTGTGAATGATCGTTTATGCCAAAACTTTAGTAATCTAATATAATAATATGATTATATACAGTGCCGGATCCAGGATTTTCGAACTTATGAGTCACCATCAATAATTGATCACTTGTTACACTTCAAAAATTATATAAAAAAAATTATATTTCACCAAAATGATTTCAATCCAAAAATAGGATATAAAAATACATACTATAAAACTATTACATTAAACTAAATTTATGATTTTTTTTACTTAAAAACAAGAATTTTTTAAAATAAAAGTTAGATAACTTAAGAGACCGGTTATTATATATAACAGGTCTCTTTAATGAAATATGAAAGCAGTGCAAAAATTTATTCTAGGCTGACAAAAAGAGACCTGTTATCTATATAACAGGTCTCTAATGACGTGGTGGCAATAGCAACAACAAAGAGACCACCTATCTTATATTTTAATAGGCGGTCTCTTTGATACTTTAAAAACTGACAGTGGGCTAGAAACAAAGAGACCGCCTATCTGTAATAGGCGGTCTCTTAATTATTTTTTTTGTGGTGATGAGTCACGTGACTCACTGTGCACCTTAATAGATCCGCCCCTGATTATATAGAAGTATAACTCCAATAATATCGACGTTACATGCTTTCGATTTATTGAAAGTGATCCTAATCTTGGCTGGATAGTAGTCCAACAAGTAAAAGAGTCAAATTCTTTCAATTTTTCCATAATTTATAATTTTTATTACCGTCTTTTCTTTTTATATTTTTATTATTGTTATAGATACACCTAATCTTTAATTCATAATTAATGTGAATTGTACAAAATGAACTCTTAGTTCTTATTGATAAAGGACCAGAAGTGCATGGTGAGAGAGAATGGGGTTTTGACAATTTTTTACTCCCTCCGTCTCTAAATTACATTCGTAGTTAAATTGAAGTAAGAATGTAATTTAGGGACGGAAAGAGTAGTTAAATAGAAAAATCAAACTTTTTTAAGTGAGGGTGCCATTTTTTTTTATTTTTTTTTTATACTACGGTGTACAAGCTGCAAAAGGGTTTGTAAGCTGTTCAAAAATTAATTAAAGTGAGTGGGATAAAGAAAAAGAATATTAGTATATATTCTTGTGTTTCACTTTCATGCTTGCATGATTAGTTTTGATTTTTTTTTTACAAAGTCTACAAGAAGCTAGCCGAAGGTGGTATAAAAATAATCATTATTATCTTCATAAAAGGTTGTAATAAGTTCATCAGGACAAAAGTTTGTTCCAAAACCAATTAGCAATAATGGAATAGTTAAATATATTTTTAATAAAACATTTTCTCTACTCAACTCTAATAATGCACGGCAATTTATTGTGTGGACAACAAGTTAAATTTAATTACGGAGTACTAGGAGTAGTATTTTTCCTCATATCACGTGTCACATGTATCTCGCACTTATATAAGATACGGAGTATAAAGATAATTAAGGTCATTTGTTCTGATTTACTAAACTGAGTTGAACTGAACTGAACTAAACTAAATTGTTTATGATAAAAGAAACGTAATTTACAAGCATAATTAAGAGGCTACACTGTTTTTACGTACTTTGTACTCGGCATGATTTGAAGTTACAACTTTCAAGTTACAAGTCTTATTACAACCCTCTCTCGATCATATTATATTCTGACGACTTAGACTATTATTCTATCATCTTGCCCCAGTTGTAAATATGGCCCAGGCTCATTAATGAAATTGAATTAGTAATATAGTCCATATAATTAATTGATCTATCATCAAGCCTCTCATCCTTTAGATAAGGTTATTAATTAGAGTGTTAATTTCATTGCTTTGTCATACACCTATACAAGCATGCTATAAAGTGTAACATAATATTATCCCAATACGTAAAAGGAAAAATCAGGAACCACTCAATAGTTTAAAACGAAAAGATCAACAATTTTACGGTCCAATCAAATAAAGCTAGGCTTCTGATATTAAAATTCAAGAGATAGGACAAAGTATGCATGCTTCATGATCAATACCTCAACAGGAACAGCCAGATTGAGAGGTGACTAATGTTTGTTCATGAAAGGAACAAACATATAATGTAATGGATTATGGATAAGTCATTGAGAGAAATTGACATATTTCTTGTAAAATTTATCCTAATTAATGATGTGGATTTATGGGATTGGGATCGGGAATGGGATAGGGATCGAGATCGGGATCGGGTGAACTTGATTCATCCGGACACAAATTATTAGACTTTTATCAATTTTATTGATTAAAACTATCACATCTTACGGATAAAGTTAATCTAGTTCAGTAAACGCTAGAAAGCAGGGGTTGGAGAAGGTAAATGAATCTCACCACTCCCAAGAAAATATAATTGGCGAGTCTCGAATTCGTGAAATCAAAGTTACAAGATGAGTTTTCCACCAGCTTAAAATTAATCATAGAGTTTAATACATAAATTATTGTAGAGTGGCTCATTCTTTAATATACTGCGTATAAAGTAAAGTAATTTTATTCATGATATTAATATTAGGAAAAAGATATATGCAGCCCTAAGGGCTGCATATAAGAAGCTAAAAGTGGAAAGAATTGACAATAATATATAATTATTACACCGATTTATTCGTGAATTGTTAATAAATTTCCAATTTAATACTAAAATAGGAAAGATATTAAATGCCAATTGTTATACCCTTATACAAATATCTGATTACTATAAAAAAAGTAAAGAAAAATTGTACAAATATCTGATTACTATTTAAAAAGAAAAATCAACTTTATGTACATAGTGAATGCAGCTAGTGATGGTGTGTGGGGTGTCCCTTTTTTTATGGCTCAAAATTCACTGATTTGAATGAATTCTTTAATCATTGTCTAATTTCTATCAGTGATTCAGACAGCTAAATTACTTTTTTCTTGATTTGCTACGACACATTAAGCTATTATTTTCAACACCAACATTTATATTTCTTGAAACGATCCCATGTTGAGCTAGCTGTTTCTTTCAAACCAAGTCCAATATGATTTATACTATTATTGAATCACATAATTGAGTTTATATCTCGAAAATAATTCGAGGTTGATTTGATTATATGTCTCAAGACTCTCAACTTGTTTTATCGTAAAACATTGTGATTATTTGTTTTGGTTTACTCGCTCTAGGTTTTTATTTATTTAATTATTATTTATTTATGTTCCACCCGATTTATCGTTTGGGTTAATCAGCTGATTCAGATTCGATAATTAGTGGTGGGCTATTAAATTCCAGTCCCTTTCTAATTATTGTTATTTGTTAGTATTGGTGATGTATTTTTTTTTTACCAAAATATTGTTCTAATGTGAATATTTTTTCCCCTGTGCATTTGAAAATTTTGTCTCACTTATCTTAATTTAGCTCAACTTTGTAAAGTAAGTAACAATTCATTTTCGTTATCAAAATAATCCAACTATTACGCAAACATACAATTTTTCCTTAAATTTTCCTAACTGTTTATTAGATCAGGCCACTTTGATTACAATTAACAAGTAGGTTGTCGTCTTTAATGATTATATTTTTTTTTCGTGACATCAACTATATCACAACCAAACCGTTGAAATTGTGTTTGAAGAAATTGGTTGCTCATGCTTCCTTGATAAACATAACGTAAGTGATGTGGTTCATTGATAAAGTTTGGACATTCAAATAAGAGGAACCCAATAAAATGGAGGAAATAAAATCTTCTTAGGTTGTGTGCTCTTGTGTTAACACTCATTCAAGGCGAAATGTGACCTGTGCAAGATTGTATAAACATGTAAAACATCAAAGTTTCAGTTCGATAGATTGAGGCGTTTCCAGATGAGGAAAATAAACATTTTAATCGGTTTTAGGCACTTACTTACATGTGGATGACTACTTTTAACATGAACACACACATGTATATTAAACCAATTATAGTCATTGTCAAGGGCAGCATGACTTAATGCATGATACTTGGCCTTTAAAAACTCTTTCCAATTTCAATATAAAGAATTGAGTGTTTTCCTTATTAGTTGGTTCACCTAAAAAACAATTAAGATAAAGAATTATCCTCAAATTGCGATGATTGTTGATTTAGTCGTAAATGCCTTCATTCTCAAATAAAGGCAGAGTTGAAATTATGCCTTCTAAACTACAAGTTGCAGATTATGAAGTCAATTAAGAACATCACTTGTAAATATTAACTACATATATTTTGATTTTTAACATTTTTCGTATATACAATTTTACTATTTTTATGAGTTATAATCAAATTTCAAGAAAGAATAATATAGCCATATGCCCATATCAAATTGTTATTTTTCATACCGAGTACAATTTTTACTTACTGTAATTAAGATTTAATTTTTTTCCATTTTGATTTTTGACCTCTTTAATCTCAAGATTTGAAGAAAGCTAAAATTATACGTACGTGGGTGTTCAAAAGAACAAATAAAATTAGACAAAATATTTCACAATTTATTTATTTATTTATTTAAATTTTTTTTAGACAAATATTTCATAATCTTAAACAAGGAGTTACATTAATTCACTAAACCCAAAAAAAAAAAAAAAAAAAAGAAAGACAATCCATAACCACCAAAATTTATGAGTTACGTAGTTATATACTCCTCCATTTATGTATGTACAATAATATAATATACTACCTCCGTTACAGGTTATGTGCAACGATTTGACATAAAGCAGAGAAGAAAAATGTCTAATCGTTGCACATAACCTGTAACGGAGGTAGTACATCCAACCTCAACTCACATAGGCGATAAAAAAAAACCCCTATAACTTTCACGTTACTAGTTCAAATTACACAACCATACAGACAGCTGTCGTGTTTTTAAACATCGGAAGTAAAAACACCCCGATGACAAGCCCGGCACTTGTATATATTAAACATATGATCCTTTTTTTAATGCATGGAAATGGAATGAAGTTGAAGAAGTTGTTGAGCATGAGAAAGTTGATCCATCAAAGCTAACATTCGAGCTTGAAAATCACGCGCTTGATCGACAGATTCAGCTTCAAGATCTCCTAATTGAGAACAAAGCATTTCTTCTCCATCTTCAGCCACTCTAACCCTTTCTAATGCTTTATACAATTCTTCCTTTGTCTTTTTTTCTCTTACTAAACTTTCTCTTAATTTTCTCTCTAATTCTTTGTTACGCTTCTTAAGATCATAGTTTTCTTCGTAATTACTTGCCATAATATTATCGTATTAATTAACTTAACTTGCTAAGATTATATGTTAACAAGTTGGTTAATTTTTTGTAGGAGAAAAATATGCAAGATTTGGTTGAAATTTGGATAGATAGAGGTAAAAGGTGCAATTGAGTGTACAATATTTTGGCACAAGAAAATAATACAAGGGGTTATTCTCTATTTATAGAAGAGATATTTGTATGTCTAGGTTCAATGTATCTAACAATTTTTTGTGAGAAATTGTTGACGTAGTTGCTTACCCTTTTTGTCAACTATTTATAATATATGCTTTGCAATTTTTCTAAGGTCACATATTAAGTTTTATTTGGCCTCAAATGTCAAATTGTTGAAATTTAAAATATTGAATTGTAATATTTCAACGATGTATGTTCCAGAAATGTATATACAAGACAATGTTTTGAGAATGGTTATTTTTCACTTATATTCAATAAAAAAAAAAATACGAAGTACGTATTAAATAAAGGCCGTATATTTTTGTGGATGGAAAGAGTATGCAACTCTGTAATATGCAAATCAAATATACTTACAAAATCCTCATTTTCATGTTATTGTAATTGTTTTTTTTTTGGTGTGTGTGCATCAATTTGATTTTTCTGGTTTGTTATAACAAATTAATTTATTATGGATTACTCCGTAGTGGTAATTGATATTTTAAAAATATACGTTTATAAAAATACATATTGTGCAAGTTGGATGTCCTTCGTAGTCCTTTTAATTTATTGATTGCTTGCAAGTAACCACGTGAATTTTGTCCATGTGTCTACATTACTAAGCAAGTAAACGAAAATACATGAATGAATAATGACAGTATTCGTAAACTACGATGAATTGATTATTGATTTCTAATCTTCAGATTTGCTCTTTACAATTAGAATTAGAATTAGAAATTCTACTATTAGTTACATCATAGCTCAGTATAAAGTTATTCTAGTCTTCTAGACGACTAGACTCAACCGAAAAATCATACCAAGTATATACTTACTTGTGTTTGGTTATTCAGTAAAAAATAAATCCATTGAATAAAATTTACACAAAAATTTGATTATTCCCTAGCAAATAACCTTTTTTTTTTTTTTTCACAATCGTTTAACAGCATTTACACCAATGAGGAGAAAAGTGTACATGAGAAGAAATAAAGGAGAATTAATTCAGCATATAGGTTGAGGAGTTTTTTAGGTGAACAGTGCTATAGTGGACCCCACAACAAAACTGATATTCAATATTTTTTAGTATAAATAATTATTAAGAAAAATAAAAAAAGGTGATGTGTAATGTGGTGGTGTATAGGAAATAGTAGGAGAGATAATGGTGAAGAGTTTTTTTTTTTTTTTTATCATTGATGTGGTAAACAAAAAAAATTAATCTTAAGGAGAAATGAGTGGATAGAGTGAGAAAGTAAGGTGGGTAGAGTGAGAATGAGGAGAATTATTGGTGTGAATGCTCTTAGACGTAAGTCACGTAACCTAAAAGTGTGTCGAATGAGAGAGTCGACCCCTGCGAATATTATAATTGATCTATGCTATTGTAGTATTGTGGACTGATAACGGAGTAACTATCACTAGAAAGAGTTGAATCTGATCAACTTTAGTAATTGGTACAGTATAAAAACTGTTCAATCATACAAAACTTTAGTTGACATAAGCTTTTCAGCCTTCAACGCCTCATCTTAATGGCAGTGAATGATGCACGTTTTTTAGGGGACGTCCACAAGAGAAAAGAATCAAAAGATAGATGATGATCTATAACAATCTTGCCAATATTATACATACAAATATTATTACGGAGTACACTTGGGACTTTAACAGAGATGCAGTTAACCAACGGAGTACTAGTAGTTGTACTACATTTTAAAGGTATTTTCCACGTCTCATGTAATGCTAGTTGCCTAAAATGTTGGGTAACAACTCTACTTTGGAATAATAGTAAGCATATAACATCTAACTAATACAAGTATATGCTATTGCATTCCCAAAAAAATCATTAACTTTCCCCAAGCAAAATATCTTACTAAAAAAGTACTCCATATATATCAGCGTTGAACATATGATAACAAGAAATTTGGCAAAAAAGTCAGCCAAATAGGTTTAGATACATTATGCAAATACACCTGATTTGTAAGTAACTTAACTCAACAATGATGAAGTCACAATTAAGTTTCCAACTATGTACAATTAATGTTAGATTTTCCAACATCTTCATTCTTGTTAAATTTCTATTGCGGTGTATATGATCAATAACCGTATACGTATCAAAGATGTTGATGATAAATCTATAGTTTCCTCCCTTTAATATCCAAGGGCGGGGCTTGAAGGTCTTCTCTACTAACCACTCGATTTCCACTCTTAGAGAGGAGCAGGTCTTTCATTTCCCTGTAACTCTTAAGCTCTTCGAGGGCATCGCGTGCCATGAAAAATCCAGAAGCAGTTCCAAAGCTGCCCCCTTGTTGGGTGCTCTGAGAGCTGGCTGAATAGCTACTTGAATCTTGACGTAGTGGTGGGGCTGTCCTAAGCATGTGAACAAGAGCACCCACCGCAGCATCTTGTGACTTACGACCAAATGACAATGCAGAATTGAATTCCGATCCTTTCTTTGGTTCAATACTCTGACTGCAGCAACAAACGTAAGAAGCATAAGGTTTCAGGAATTAAGAAAATAAATACTGAAACAAATTTATGTTGCTGTTACAAAAAAAGAAGCATATTATGTCATCCTGAAGCCATTGCTGTACATGTTACAGGCTAAACTGGACTCTTCTTTTGAGAAAAATCATGGAGTATCACACCAAAAAGATTTTACGCCTCCAGCTAAACCAACTTCCAGCACTTGTATTTTCTTTCTTGAATGATCTCAATACAAACTCTACCATAATGCATCAAATATGGTATCCCACAAGACTAATAGGGGGTTTTACACGAGAGTGTCAACATTATAATATAGCTATGAGATCTGATATGTGAGAGTAAGAAACATATACCAACACAAATCCAGCCAAATTGTCAGAATCCAGCCTTCACGTCTATGTATATCCTTTATTTAATGATTCTTAGGATTTCTCTAAAGGCTTTCGAGGCTTAAGATCCAATTCTGATGATACTTACAATATAGTGTTCAGTGGGAGAGTATTCAATGTCCCTACAGCTTGCTTGTGTCACTATGTGCACACAACCCCTTTTCCGAACAAGGTTGACACCCTTGCCGATAGATAGGCAAGAGTGCCCCGCAGTGCTAGTGCTAAAACACTCGGATTGTGATACACAAGCTCTCCTCTTTAGAAACAACTACCTTATTTAATGTTTATGGTACTTGCAATATCAAGTCTAGTTAGGGGATGTGGTACATGCATACAATCACTTATCCCTATGGCTTTCCTCAAATTATTAATAAGGACTAAATTGTTTAAGCGCACTACAAGTGGCTAGGAAGACTCAGGGTGATTATGATTTGATAAGGGAACTTAACTATGTTTTGATGAGGAATTGACCGAATTGTTCAATAACTATAGTAAGATAGAAAAGATGAAAACCTTGTAGAGTTGTAGTGGTATCACGGGGTCAATTTTCTATAACATAAAGCAAAGCATGATTTTCACTTTTTACATTCATACCCATAAGCAAACAATGTGAGCAACCCCCTCATATGAAGTGAATAATATAACATCCAGTGACGGCAATGATGACTACAACTTCAAGTACAATACTATACAGTTTGGGGAAGTTTAGATGTACAGAAGTAACACAACCTTATCCTTAGTCAAATAGTGAAAAAATGAAACAACAATACAAAATGATCCATGCAATACTTCAATTAGAATGCAAGTAAAAAAGAGAAGTACCTAGCTTGGGAATCTGATGTATCGACATCATCAACATCAAATGGTAATGAAAAGTCGTATACACCCAACTCATCCTGGAAAGATTTACTTGAGCTTCTTGAATATGCCTTACGTGGTGAGCTGCTAGAGGAATACAATCCAGAGAACCGCCCAGATTCATCTTTGCTATCTCTAGTTAACTGAAAACAAATGCAGTCGATCTCAAAAGACATTTAAAAATTACCCATCTAAATTTTGTAAAACTTGAAAATCCATGTTTCCATCAAAAATCTGAAAGAGTACCTTTGATCCAAAAGAGAGGTTCCCAGTCCCAGAATACAGCTCTCCAGGCTGTAATGCATCTAATTTTTTGGACAACCTGTTTCCTGATGGAGATGGAGACCCATGTGGTGAAGGTTCCGGTTTTGTACTCCTTGGAGAGAAAGGAGGGAGGTTCATTCTACTTGGATCAGACAAATTAGGAGAAAGGTATGCAGGACTTCTGTTCAGCATAGGATGCGGAATAGTTACAGGTGCTGACTCCGGCCTTAGCCGGGACTGGGTAGGACTATATCTAAAGAGGTATGCTGGGGGAGATGGAGATGAAGATGGAGAGAATGGAGGTGAAAGAGATTCATCATAACTGTTAGTTTTGTGATGTCCTCCAAGCATCCTATAATTCTGCACTCTTTGGCCTTGCATATATGTTGGCAAAGATGGATCATCATTTGAGAAACGATGTGCAGGTGGAGATCCACTAAGGGGGTTTGTTTGTATCGGAACGGCATTTGAATGGATGCCGCTAGACCAACTATGAGGACGTTGACTTGGCATTGGACATGCATTTCTAGCTCCCTTTAGATTGAATGAGATAGGATTAGAAACTTTCTCTACGGATGGAAAGGCCCTCATGGGATCAATGGCAGGACTTCCAACATAATCAGAAATAATTACAGGCGGAAATGATGTCGAAGTTTCAAGACTAAATTCTGACAAATCTGATCTATAATTTACAGAAACACTGAGCCTACCATTTACAGCCTCCACTGGGTTGAAACTATATTGCTTCATCATTTGCTCCTCTTCCCTAGAGAAGGGGTCGCTGAAAGATGATACCTTATATATAACATCAATATCAGAAGGTTGGCTTGAGGAACTAAGGTTCCTAAATATCCTATAAGCAGGCAAATGCCTCATCATTGAGCAGAGAGAGCGGAAAAGTATGATTGATTTCTGGTACATTTTCTTATACAATGATGTAACATCTCTAGTCTGTACAGGCATTGTCTTATGATTTTCATACTGAACTACCCATCTCTCAATAACTGTCTCAACTG